ACTAGTTTAGTTTTTTGTATTTTAAGTGAAGACCAGTGGGACTTCAGTGTTGACGTAATGTTCGCCCGACTGCCTTGGTGATACTGATGACTGCTAGTGAAGGTGTTTATTTCACACAACACACACCTCGATGGCTTTCTTCTTCGAGGCAGCATGTGTTATTCGTTCTCTCCTTTCCCCCAACAATGGTAAGTCTGAAGTAAGACGTGGTGGTGATGTATATTTGATTAAATATCTGTGATATTTTTAGCCTTGACTATTGGTGCTTTCCTAAAAGAAACAATGAGATTTTTGATAAATTATCATAAGGAGTCACTCCTTATGATAATTTATCAAAAAAACACTCAGTGTGGATATAATGACTAATTGGGTAAAAACAAACTAAAACTGTCTGGTAAATTAAATTACAACTTTTCTGTAATGCCTCCTTTTGAAACCAGGAAAAGACAACACTTACAGCATATTACTACATCAAGACAGTGTCTCATCTCATACGACGATATAGATCTAATATTAATATTGCCTTTCCCAAATCAGAGCACTCTTGTATTTGACTACACTTCCCCTGGCCTCTGGACACATGTGAGCATGTGGGTCGATCTTGACAGCCTAATGTAGGTCCACTTCACTGTGGTGTATTTGCCAAACCGTCGCTGTATTGATTTCTCAAAAGGATCTTCCTCCAATCCTTCCTCGGTCAATCCTTTTACTTGTCATTATCGTCTCTTTAATCACATGTCATGTTGAGCTTGTCCCTCTTTCATCCCTGTGAAAAGCGTGTTTGGGGACCGCTCTATTGAGCAGTAAAAACACGTTGGGGCTGATTGGATCCTCTGCACAGAAAGATTCCCTCTGCATTGACTGATGAGCAGTATTGATTGAACTGTTTGTCACGCACAGATCTGGCAGGGTGCATGACGGAGGCAGCAAACATTTGGACCTGACAGGAGTGTGTGCAGAAAGACATTTGCATGTGTGGATTAATGCACAATGAGCGTTGTGACTGCTGATGTGTGACGTTATAGTGACATCAGAGCTTCTTGTCTGGGAAAACCTGTCTTATTGAACTAAATACATTTGAAGCAAAGCGAGGAAGAACAGCTTTGTAGCACACCGACTTTAATGTCATATTTAGAGATGATGTATGGGAGCAGCGTTTAATAAGGATTGTAGAACAACAGTGCTGTGACAGACTTATGTAGATGACAAACGGTGAAATAGTCTAGAGACTTGAGGGTGCACACATCCCTAAAGAGTCACATCTCAAGGATCCAAAAAACCCACAAAACAACATTATAGGAACATATTTTGTGCTTATATCTAAACCAGAAATCTCATCACAACTCAACATTAACAACAGGAACAATTTGTGCTTATGATCCTATTGCTAAACATTGAACTTAATACAGTTATTTGTCCTTCACTACTTATCTGCCATTACACACTAATGCATGCATTATGATGTGAAGCAGAGTAGGTTCAGTGAAGGCGTGTAGAAGCAATTTGTATTATTCTTTGTATCAAAAACAAAAAAGGACTCTTGTGCTCAAGCTGTTCCCTAAAGAGTTTTACTGCTGTCAATTTCCATTCTTCTCTATACATCTGTTCCTCTTTGTTATCTGATGTGTCATCAGTTATAGTATCTACATCCTGCCCAATCAAATCTATAGACATCTGTTTGACTCCAGAGAATTACACCTGTAACCCCTTCCTTTTTTCAGTCAATGAGTAATAATAGATTAAGTAGTCACACTGAGATCAGCTGACTTGAGTGTAAATACCTATCTGTGACCAAAATCTCGGCTTCAAGACATATTCAAAATGTGCCTTTTTCTTTTGTCTCTGCTTCTCTCTGTCCTGCTTTAATATTGCTAATACGACATCATTGGCAGAAATAATGACCACTCACACACCAAAGTGCATGCAAAGTGATTCATTCAAACACACAATTACCAAGATGATTCAGTTTAACCGATAGACACTCAATGCATACAAGGCTGACAGTACTTGGGTCATTCTCACGAAATCCTGGTTTCAAATATTTCAAAGATGAATAATTTAAAAAAAATTATCATTTTTTTTTTTTTTAAAGTAAAATACCAAGATCTTAGGTAATTTGGACTATACATATGGAAGCTATATATTGACAGTATGTCACATTTATTTCACATTTGCCAAAAAAAGTAATTGAAAAATGTCATTACCGCAACTTTACAAAACATCCAAAACATTAGAAAAGCAAAACAATATTTATAATTTTGAAAATTAAATCTTGATATGACTGTACAGATTTGCATGAAACCCAGGGAATTTTGTAATTTTCGAAAACCAGTCAGTATCTGGTGTGATGGGTAGGGGTAGGGTAATGTTGTGAATCGAGTGGCCTGTGTTTGTCGTCCATAACATACGCCTGCCCATACCATAACCCCACCACCACCATGGGCCACTCGATTCACAATATTACCCTAACCCTAACCCTACCCCTCACACCAGATACTGACTGGTTTTCTGACCCCCCCAGACCCCGCCAATAAAGCAAAAATGCATGTTTCAGAGTGGCCTTTTATTGTGGCCAGCCTAAGGCACACCTGTGCAATAATCATGCTGTCTAATCAGCATCTTGATATGCCACACCTGTGAGGTAGGATGGATTATCTCGGCAAAGGAGAAGTGCTCACTATCACAGATTTGTTCAGATTTGTGAACAATATTTGAGAGAAATGGTTATTTTGTGTATATAGAAAATGTTTTAGATCTTTGAGTTCATCTCATGAAAAATGGAAGCAAAAACAAAAGTGTTGCGTTTATATTTTTGTCATTCGTGCCATTGTATTGTGTCAGTTTCGTGAGAATGACCCACTTGCATAAGGCAACTATAAGTAAGATAGAGTGCACCCTGCTCACTGCTGTAACTCTGTTCTCCATGATGGACTCTTCTCAGCACAGACTGTATTTATGAATGATTTCTGCTGCCTATTATTATTTCTGCAAATAAAAAACGAATAATGGCATAAATTATTTTCAAAAAAAGGGAACAGACTCTTTTGCATATTTGTAAGGATGCTCTATTATCGCAAAATCAGAATAATTTCTATGTTGGTTAGTATTGACAGCTCCAAATTGAGATGGCGATTATTACATATCGTCTCTGGAAAAAAAACCCGGTATTTTGTACATTTCAAGAGTAAAGTTAAACTTTGACGGTAAAATGAAGAGGCTAGGTCTATGAATCACTTTTTGTTGACACCCTGAGGACAGTTAGCGCCGGGAGAGAGGTTCGAAGATGATCCTCCTCCCACATTAAGCAGCAGAATCATATTGAATTGAATATGAAATGTGTTAAATCACCCGGCCTTATGTTGTTGCGTGTGTTATTTTCAGTTTTCTCATGCTTACATACACTCGCCCATCTTTGGCAGATTGGGACAAACTCGCCTGTCAAGAGGCCAGAAGGTGTGCAGAACAGTCAGAGAGGGAACAGATGGACAAGAGGCACACACACACACACACACACACACACACACACACACACACACACACACACACACACACACACACACACACACACACACACACACACACACACACACACACACACACACACACACACACACACACACACACACACACACACTTGGATATTGGGAGGGCAGATCTTTTCTATGGCATGAACCCAGCACAGTGGGACAAATGACCTCACCTCAGTATTTTAACCCCGTCCTCACATCCACGTCTCATGTTCTGCTCATGTCATCTCGCAGCTCTTCAGCACTGTTTTCTTAGCACGCTTCACTAAGTGTGCTAAGACCCAAGTGTACCATTTGCCCAACAGCTACACATAAACCATATGGTAGCTAACAGATGGATGGAATGTTCTGATTGGCAGGTGGGCAGTGCAGTGACTGGGTTACGATGCGTGTCAGAGGGTGACAGACGGCTGCCTGTCGGCCACTTTAGGCAACCATTAGCATTAGCTTGATGATGTGTGTTGTTGTCCCCCCCTTTGACCCCTGCTTTTATTTTGCAATTAGCTCCTGTCTGTGGCTTATTGAGTTGTCTAGGAATCATTTAGAGCAAATGTCTGTCTGTAAAGTAGTGGATTCATACACTTTTTACTTTAAAGTAGCAGTCAGTGAGGCTCAGCAATGCACCTCCCACATTATTAGCTTTTCAATCATTGTGTTCTGCTTCTTTTTTTTTACAACTGTTTAAATTATTTGAATAATGGTTACACATGCTTTGGTGCATGCACTTCTCCTATTTCAAGCTTATACATAATTATTTGTGCTTTATCGGATAGATTGACAGGATTTCTAACATGAATATCCTGGACCATATGTGATTATTTTTCTTGGGGCATATTTCATCGTTGTCTGTGGATAAACATTATCAATCATTTTTGTTCCTTTCCTGTGATGTTTTACCTTCACAATAGTCAGTAAAATGTGGACAGTGTCAGTGTGTTACTATGGAAACATAGAGTAACTATTTCCAACAGTTCTTAATGTGTTATTATTAGCGACTAAAACAAAACAAGTTGTTCATCTCCTAAGACCTAAAGACAGAGATACATATAGACACTATTAAACCTAAATATTAAAGTCACATGTAGAGTCCTTAGTTCAGCCATGCTCGAATGTTTCATTCTCTTGTTTCTGTTGCATGTTATTGGTTCGTTTATGAAATCAAGCTTCAACAGTCCACTTGTATTTTATGTTGTCCCATTTGAATTCTTCTTTTATCCAAGAATCATCTCATGCCGTCTGCATTTATAAATTAAATCTTCAGAAATGTCATCTTTTGTATCACCCATTCCTTGTGTTCTTGTGTGCAGCACCAACATAAGTGGTGGGTAAAGAGAGAATTCAATGCATGCAAATTGCTCTGAAGAAGTACTAGAGATTGTTATCATGAGTGGTGTCTGTGAGTCACTGGAGCCAGCAGGCCTTGTTTTCTGGTGAAATGCTAATAATGTCTCTGTCTGTCTCTCGGTCCTGCAGACTTTAATTACAACACAGACGGCTACGAGGGAGACGGAGCGGAGGACGGCAAGTCTCAGGACGGCTCGGAGACGCTGCCCTTCATAGATGAGTCTCCCACCATGTCGCCACAGCTGTGCGCACCCCAAGGGCCCGACGGAGAGGCCGTCTCCCCCACTCCACCAGAGAGCCTGCTGGCAGGGGTAAGAGCCCACACACATGGCATGGACATGCTTATTTAAAGGAAGGAGGGACACATCAGTTGCAGCGCTCTTACTTCCACAAACCATTCACTTATTCACTCCTGCTGAGTTTCTTAAATAGAATATGTATAAATCCTGAAAAGCCTGAAGGTAGTTTATTAACATCCTAATTTATTATACTGAATTCCTACACTACAGAGAAGTGTATAACATATATTCCATTGGTCATGGTGTTTATTCATATAGGTTCTTAACTCTCTTGAGATTGAACCATAGGTTTTTACATGCAGTCTAGTCTCAATTTAAAAACAATAACGAAAAGGATTTTATTATCATAGTAGATAAAATGCCATTTACCCAAGCTAAGGATGATTAAACATTATAGCCGTACACCGTTCAACAACCATTTAATTTGTATCTATATGTACCAGCATATTTATGACACTATAAACCTACTGGTCTTAACGAAAAGATACAAATAAACCTTTCCTAAAAACTGAAACCAAACTAAAATAGTAAAATCTAAAATTAATAATCAAATTGAAAACTGTTATAACTTGGTGTTGATGGAAGTGTAGTATTCAGATATAAAAAGTTTGTAATTCAAACTTGCCTTTCATAACCTTCGTATGAAAAAAAAAATCAATACACTGACCTTTGAATCATAGTATCTAAACTCAAAGGTTTAAAAATATCTATAAAAAAGTGAAATATTAGTTTGAAAATTAATTATTCTTACAGGCATTGCAATTTCCTTTAAGTCTCTAATTTCTCTCATTGTTCCATCCTGTTAGGAGTATATATAATACAGTCAAAGCTGACGTGTCATCAGGCACATTTTTCTCCTTGTTAGTAATAGCGGTGGGTTTCTCCCTCCAGTTAGCCGCCTGATATAGACCCTGTGTAATTGTTAGCGATTAGCTAGACTGCCTGCAGCGCACTGCAGGTGGTGCATTGACAGCAGCAGGAAATGACCACTGACCCACATGGGGTCTGACGGCACCAGCACTGATCTGCCAGTCTGTGCATGGAAGCAGAATACGTTCCAGGACCGTGTTTATTCACAAAGGTGTCATTAGTGAATTAGTCAGTGTTAAAAAGACAAGGTCCCTTTTTTATGTTTTTCTATTCAGTTAATAGCTGTCAATTACATTCTGTATGTGGCACTATTTTCTCTGTTTAATCCGTCACAGGGGCTATCCCTGGGTGTGTGAACAAGAGGAAAAGGCGTCCTCTGTTTATGACAAATAAACAGGAAATATTAAACTTACTGATTTGTGTGGACTTTTCCAGTGAGGTTCCACAGACACCAGACATGAAGCTGACACACAAAAGCTTTCATGAAATTGACTGTGACTTGTGTGTCTGACTGTGAGGGGGGGGGTGGGGGGGGGCTCAGTGGGAGTCATGTTGACCCTGACCTGAACACAAACACAAACACACACTCACACCCAAACAAAGAAGCTAACAGGCTTTAGATTCACACATCACAGCAAGCCCGAGTGAAAACAGCGATCTTGAGTGGCTGGCTCCGACTTATGTGAAGTGCTGTACATATTAACAGCTGGTTAAGAGAAATAAAGAATTGTAGTGGAGTAACCTCTGCCACTTTCACACTTTTTGTAGAAATGCCCCACCATCACAATTTTCTAGCTTTAATCTCACAGCCCCCTTTTGCTCTATTTGCTCTTTAATATGCCTGCACTCTCCCATTACCATAGTATTATAAAAACACTCTGGCATTGAACTTATTTATTTGGACTTGGACTTAGTTATAAATAAATACATGTAATAAGTGTATTGTTCTGTTGAAATCATTGTGAGTCATTATCCCAGGGTCTCTTGAGTAAATGAAAATGTGTCTCCATCTAGGGGCCAGTTTTGGTACCAACAGACAAGACGGGACAATTGAAATCAAGTCAATCATTTATAACCTACATTAGTAACCACATTGAGAGAAAATGATGTTTTCATTCAATTCAAATCATTATAAAGAAATGTAGTGGAAGTGTTCAATCATGTTCAGATCTAGTGAATCTTTGGAGCCTTAGGTTGCTCTTGAGAATGAAATAAATTGTTGTTTTTTGTTTAGGTTTGAAATAAGATATGTAAACATTTTGTAACCTTTCCACCTTTCATTTCATTGCGTGCAAACTTTTGTCAAACTGTCTAACTAGATAACCTAGAATTGCAGTTCTGTGGGTGTATTCTGTATTTATTAACTCTGCCTCCTGACCCTGGCACTTAAAACTGAGTCAGAGCACTTTATAGCAGCGGCTGGTTTGGCGCTATGAGAGACTGTTATAGGAGGTTTCTGTCCAACGCTGCAGCCTCCAAAGGGCTTTCCTATGAACTCGTCCTCTCTTTCCTCACCGCCTTGTTAAGTTGGCCTTTCTTTCCGCTGAGTTTGCCTTTCATCTGCTGACATGAGAGAGCAAACGCTGACGCCTCTGTGCCAAGATGCATAAATTCAGCATGAGGATCGCATCTGTAGCCCACATAGAAGTTAAAAGAAGTTTGAGATGTTTTATTTTACATATTGGGATGCTTTAAAAACATTTTACCTTATACTAATGATGGATAGCGGATGTAGTTGTGTTGCAAATTGGTTAGTTTGGGCTGTATACATGAATTACTTGGTTAATTTTATGCTTTTTCTTTTTATCCTCTTTGCCAGATTTATATATTTTTTTCATTCTGGCTTTCTTGAATTCTCTTTCAAGCTTATTTCTTTTCCCATATGAATGGTTTGCAATGTTAGTGACCTAGAAATAAAAGCCATAAGCTTAAATATACTTTTGTTTTCCCACTCTTCCAAGTTTTTTTTTGCAAGATAAAGAGTGAAGAGTTATTCAGAGAGCCTGAGAAATGGGGGAGGAGAATCTATAGGCAGGCAGACTTCCTGTAAAGTGACATCTACGGGTCAGGAGCAGGGTGAGAGGTCGTGAAGAGTGAACTATAGTCATTCACACACACACACACACACACACACACACACACACACACACACACACACACACACACACACACACACACACACACACACACACACACACACACACACACACACACACCCATAGTTGAACCCACAGATCTACATATGGGAAATTGTTTTACTTTCTAGTATCAAGAAATATAGTTTTTCTTCTTTCATTTCTTCTATATACTATTTTAAATCAACCCCATGTTCTACCCAAGCTACACTGCTGTGAACTCTGTGACCTGTAATTAGAATCAGCCGCACCAGCAGCACATGAGCCGATCTCTGCTCCACATCCAAGGCTCTGTGCAGATCAATAAAGAGACAATGGGCAGAGAGAGAACTCTGCAACACTCTGCGAGAATAAAGGAAGCTGTGTGTTTTCAGGAAGTGGCTTCAGTCTGAAGATGCGGAAGAAAGAGAAGAAGAGAATGAAGCGGACTGACTCCCAGAGCAGCGCGGACACAAGCGCTCTATGTAGCCATCCAGGAAGTGGCTGGAGAGTGTTTGTTATTGAGGGGAGGGGCAGACGCAGAGGGAGGGCAGACCTCATCGACCGAGGTGGAACACACACACGCTCACACACACACACCAGGAAGCCCGGCAGAGGAAGGGGGTGGGGTTGCGTAGGCGGGGTCCTCTCCCTTTCTCTCTCTCGCTTGCGATGTCCAGACGACATGCTCTGAAGGGAAAACACTGATGTGTCCGGGCAGGCCCTGAAACAGAGGGGATCTCAGGCAGAAAGAGGAGAGGAGGAGGCGAAGGAAAGAAAAGAATAATGGAGGAGGAAGAGGAGGAGGTGCTGTGCTACTTGGACAGGGTGCTGGAGGAGGAGGAGGAGGAGGAGGAGGGGGAGGTGTTTGAATATGGAGATGGGGAACTGGATCACATCACTCCGACACATAGACAGTTCAAGGTGAGACAGCGGCTGGATGCAGGGGGATACACACACACACACACACACTTTTGCGACTCACACCCTGACCAGGCTAGACAGCTGCGCTATATATAGCTAAGTGGAAAGTGTTGTTGGTGTTTTGGGATGATGTGGCATCACTATGTGCTGCTACGTGAGACATCTGCGTTGCACGAGTGTGTGTGACAGCCATTAGTGTGTCAGCCTGAGGAGGCAGCTACTCTGGAGCACATGTCTCCTCACTCTGATGCTCTTTCAACTCGGCCGGTGTTTTTCTGGTTGTAACTTCTAAATTGTGTGTGTGTGTGTGTGTGTGTGTGTGTGTGTGTGTGTGTGTGTGGTGTGTGTGTGTGTGTGTGTGTGTGTTGTGTGTGTGTGTGTGTGTGTGTGTGTGTGTGTGTGTGTGTGTGTGTGTGTGTGTGTGTGTGTGTGTGGTGTGTGTGTGTGTGTGTGTGTGTGTGTGTGTGTGTGTGTGTGTGTGTGTGTGTGTGTGTGTGTGTGTGTGTGTGTGTGTGTGTGTGTGTGTGTGTGTGTGTGTGTGTGTGTGTGTGTGTGTGTGTGTGTGTGTGTGTGTGTGTGTGTGTGTGTGTGTGGAATGAAAGGTTGTGGTTCCCAGTAACTCTTCATATCAGCTTTCTTTATCAGACAGAATAAGAGCAGAGGGCACCATAAAAGAGCACACAGCTTTCTCTCTATATCAAAAGTAAGAAGAAGTGCATGCACAGGAGCAGGTTGCCATGGAAAAGTCCTTTCACTGCTCATGTATTTCTCATCTTGCCCTCTCGCCACACAGTAGCTCTTTGTACAGCACAGGGAAAATATTCCCACTGTTGGAAAAAACTGTTTTTCCCTTCCTTCCTTTTTTCCATCTTGCGGTGATATGTTTGTCGCAGAAGAAGGAGTACACTTTACACGCCACCAACGTGTCCCTCTTTACTTTTGCATCAAATTGTATTTGTTTAGTATTGTCAGGGCAGCTGCACACATCTGGCATCATATTCCAGACCTTAAACAAGCGATGAAATCATGTTAGAAGTGGCTCCGTTATTGCAATAAAAAAAACAATGACATAATGAAAAAACATTTGCCTGGAGATGTGGACCCACATATGGTTTATGGTGCTTAAAATAAATGGTGAGCTGCAGCAGGACTTACATATCCAAGGACCATCTTAGAGTCTCAAGAGGAAATATGACTCATTTCTAGTGCTGCTTTTAGTTTGAGTTCCAGTCAGCATTTCAGAGGGAACATTTTCTTTCACTTTGTTTCAAGTAGTACCAGCGTTGTAACAGACTCAGAAGCTTTCTCTATAAACAGATATGTGCAGGCAGACTTTGCAAGCAACAGGACAAGGTTTCAGTATCTTGAGCATTCTGGTTTCTGTTTGTAAGCCTGTCAAAATAAATCATTTTGTTGGACGATTATTGTCCACAGAAAAAATGTATTATTGGGATTTAAAGACTGTATTAAGCCACTGATATAATGATAATATAACATCACAATACACCCTTTTAGTCTTTAAGAACATTCACACAAATCGGAATTTGAATGTGATTTTTTTTCTTATTTATTTTTAACCAAAATCATCAATGAATTGGACTTTCAGGATCTTTTAACAAAAAATGTGCAATGTCTGTCTGCAGCGTATGTAAACAAACCAGCATATAGTCACAGTGAAGGGCCCAAGAAGAAGAGGACATGTATATATCAGAGCGGGCGCTGTACAATAACTGCCCACGGCTCCTACTACTAGGATGTGTAAAAAGTAGAGAACACATTTCACTGTGTGACCATTAAAGAGGGTTTCATCCCTCCAATTCAAACATCAAACATATTTTGTATGAGAAGTAAACAATGTATTTATTGTGACAGGCCTAATAGTCAGCTTGAAGTCAGTAGGCAGGATGTATTGACCAATCAAGTGTTGCCAACTAATTGTCCGAAATGCAATCATTTTAGCTGCATTGAAACTTTCATAATTTAGAAAGTTTGTAATTGGACTGTAAACAATGACCCGTGCACTGAGGGGGATTCCTAATTGGCTACACAATAACCCCCACGAAATATTGGCCGTTGCCCACGAGAGGTTACATTTGCCGCCAGGTAATTCTGAGATTGAATTTGCTCAAACTCTGCTCTATAAGGTTCCATTGGAAACCTTTGTTAGCTTACTGATGCTATAATGGAATCACACCCTGATGGATTGAGAGTGGAACAGCTGATTGACATCCCTCACTGGACACTTTGACCCGTGCAATTAAAAGTGACTTGATCTACACAAATCACTCCTGGTTCTTCTTGTAATTCTCTTTAGATTGCCACAGGGAGATAAAGCACCAACTGTCACTGTACAGATGCACATGTAACATTTAAAGGTGGGGTAGGTAATTTTGGAGAAACCAGCTCGAGTGCGCTAGAATTTGAAAATACACAACCGGAAAAAATCTGCCACTTCCTTACAGAGCCCCTCCTCCAACGAACGCGCACATGACCAATGAGGGCACGAGATAAATGTGTGCACAGATGGAAGGCTGACAGGCAGGTAGACCATCCAGTTATTTTAGCCAGGCCGGCTAAAATGATTGGTCGTGCTTTTTACAGTACTACGGCTTCCACAGATGACATTTTTTATGGATTTGTTGTCAAAGCACTTCAGATATTCATTGCTATCGGGATGTTAAGAGCATTCCATGGAATATAACAAAAAGTGTATCTCGTGCCGGTTTCTCAAACTTACCTACCCCACCTTTAAGAGTAACATCTTTTTACAAGATTGAACTGCTACGACATATCAAATATTTCAAATGTATTTCCAAAAGTATATTCTAAATGTGGTGTTCTTTGCAGGTAAATATCCTCCGGGAATACATTCTGCTATGTCTCTGCTAATCCCCAGCCAACCAATTCTTAATGATCCTGTAATTAAAAAATCTAAAGTTGACACTGTTTAGTACTGTTCCTGGTACACAGTATAGCTCAAGTGTTGGTCATGATAGGATTAAAACAATTGGGTCATGGCTCCTTCTCGTCTTATCAGGCAGGTGTGGTGATATCATATCACTGTGAGGATCTGGTTGTGTTAAATATTAACTTTCCTTTCTGCTCTCATGGCTGTTCTTTGGCCTCCCTTAAGTACACACTGAGACTTCTTCAACGTCAGTCTGACTGCAATTCTCTACTTTATGGCTGTGTGTGTCTGCTCAGCAGGGGGTAAAGAGGGAATGACACCCTGCACAGGTGAACAGCTGTTCATTTACTGTTAAGCAATATGCAGTTGTACTATAGAGGAATATTTCAATTAGGATTTCCACACATTGGAATTGTTTTGGTCAACACCATACTGTATGCCATATAAATATAGTGCCTTACATTATTTTAACACCAATGTGGGTTTTTCCATTATAGTGCAGTGTAACTCATCCTGCAGGTGTTAACATATTATTGTAATCAGTATATGCATGAAAAGCAATAATTATTAACTTCACACCATTGTACTGTATAGTGTGTAATTTATTTAAAGCCGCCAAGGATATTTTGTTTTTCAGTATAATTTGTTTATCTGCAGGATTATGGAAAATGACTGGCCCTATTTTCATCAAACTTGGTAGAAGGGTGTATTAAGGGCCAAGGAAGAACCCATTACATGTTGAAGTGAATCAGTGGGTGAATACAAACAATATTATTCCACTTCCAACACAAAATATAAGCTTAAAGCAACATAATACACATTCTGTTATATTAAAAACATACACTAGTTTACATGCCTCCGTCTCTAAATAAGTAACATAATTAGTCTACCATAGGTGGTCCACCAATACTGTCTACAACCTGTCAGCAATTATCATTACTTGTATTATTACTATTATTCTAAATCAGATGTGCAGGCATCCAAACTAACACGAATATCAAACATAAACATCCCTCATGTCGTCCAATTATTTGGTCCCTATGCATTTGAAGTTCCCTGTAACCGGTATATATTTGTCTTTTTTAAAGAAATGTAATCATTTTTACCCTTTTCTACTTTTTTTATAAACATGTGAGGTTTATGGTCTAGCTAAACAGTAGTTACGCCAAATATGAATTACAGGAATGTCAGTTAGTCGGATTGGATTGTGATAAAATGCCACAAGGTTTGAATTGAATGTCTATCTGACTTGTCTCACTCCATGCAGAATGTTTTTCTGCCCATTCCTGGGATAAAAAACAACAGTAAGGATGCCAAACATTTCACCTCAGATTAACTGTTTTATCACACTGCTTGCAGCTATGTTTCTCACCTCTTCCTCTATTCAGAAGTCTTTCCCAAACAGTGTGAGTGTGTTGTTTTCTCTAGCTTCTTAATGTTCCCCAAACATGATCACTTCCCTGATATTAAAGTAAAGAAAACACTGCCTGGAAGCACTAGCAGACTTTCCCCAGAGGAAGCAGCCATTTACATGTTTTTATACTAGCTAAATTCCCAAACAACGGCTATGCACTTCTGATGAGTGTGTTTAAATCTCCTATTTATGTGGTCACTGCAGGAAATGAGCCTGAGTCATGGCACTGTGATGTGGTTATAAATTATTCCTGGATTTGAGTTTTTGTATCAGTGTAAATTGTGAAACTTCTTGTCTGGTATGTCATTACAATTATGTGTGTTTTATCATGCAGGGAGACGTAGAGAAAGGACTGGAGATGAAGAAACTGGTGCTGTCTGGTTTCCTGGCCAGCGAGGAGATCTACATAAACCAGCTGGAGGCCCTGCTACTGGTGAGACACACACACACCTCACAACACACACACACTTCAAAAACATTACTTGGAGAGAAAATTGTTTCAGTTTCATGTAGGTGCATGCATGTTGCAGTGCTGCTGCTGCTGTGTGAACTGCGACCACACTATTAGTGGTTAATGGTCAGAATGAAGGCAGGACCTCAGTCACTCAGTTTCCTGGAAGAAGCACTGAACGTGCTTCCCCAAAGCTAGGCTACTATGTCATATCCTGTCATCTCTGCTGCTCAGACACAGTCAGTTAGACATCAAACTCTAAAATTGTTAATGGTTTTTTTTCATATCTGTTGTAGTACAAAACATCCACCGCTACAACGCAAAAAGCTTTATTATGCAGTCAATTATATATACAGAATATCTTTCAGTAATACTGGCAGAAATCTGGTCCAACTCTCAGTTCCTACTCTTTCAACTCAGTGATGACACAATAACGTTTTTGTTCCTTTTCTCCTCGTTATTCAGTCATTTAGAAAAAGTCTTAAGCACACAGCACGAACACACATAGATTTTATGCACTTTTTTTATTTTATATATATTATATTTTTAAGTCATGCTCTATTTATCACTTCTCTATCATACAGTAATAGAGTGGTGCAGGGATGGCGGCAAACAAACTAAGCGGTAGTGTTTACGTGTTCGGCATAATGACGTACAACGTCCTCGACAACTTCTGTAGTCCTATTCAGCCACTTGTTAACAACCATCGTTTTTCAGACACGTAAACTCTTAAAAAATCACCAGTGGGGTCACAGCTAATGTCGTAGAACAAAACGTGATCTGTCTCTTAAATTTGTGTCAACCACAGACCTTATTTGGAGCTATTTTCCAAAATCCTATGGAGAAATCCCATTGACTCTGAGACGAGGGAACCGGTAGTGGTAAAATGCTAACTCACTTCCGGGTTTTAGGACTCGTCACTGCACCACTCTAGAGAGTCAAGTGACTTCAAATTGACCATGTGTATGTATTGCAATCCGCAGTAATATCCCATCTATCCCACACCTACTCACAAGCGGGAAAGGGTTGGATTGTGTTTTGTAACCCTCTTCGTTAACTCTCAATTGATGGTGGTGAATATAACGGGCTGAAAACTTATGTCAATATCTGAAAGCTAACGTTAAATACTTCTTGGTTCTTTTGTTATAACGGCAAACTACAGACTGCTGTAAACACCAGAGGAACACTAGTCCATTTAATTTAGCTTATACATTTTGTCACAAACTTAAACAAACCACCTCACTAGTACTGTGTTTCAAAGAGACTTATTGAATTATTCTTAACAGCCAAATATCCCAAATTAAAGGAGCAATAGATGTAACAATGTGATTCACTACACTGTAGACTGAACTCCAGAGCATATCATTTCATTCTGGGAATAATGCTCTTAAGATAAGATATAATAACTTAATTCATGAAAGTGTATCCTCTTCTTTCATTTCCTTTCGAAGTCTACTAGGTCATCAGCATTTATCATGTAAAACTTGACTGGCAGACAATTGATCAGACGACACTGATATTGATAAGGGCTTCAAGCTTTAATTACATTTTTAATATCACTTTGTTAAAGTGTTCCTGCTTTTATTTACAATAACAATGATACCACACATAAAATGTTCTGTGCTAAGCTGAGAATATTTAATTTAATATACTTCCAAGCATGGCCTTGGACAGCACACGTTTACAGTACTTACTAACACAAGTAGTTATTAATAGTAACTACTTAGATATTCACTTCACATAAATGTATCCATCACAGTTAATCACATGATGTTACATCAATTCCGTCCATGTAACATTAATGTAACATTGAGGGAATTTATGTTTCAATGACGTGAAAGTGTTTTTCTATTCACTGTAATTGAGACCACCCCCCGCCATATCCACTCCACACGTCTATGAATAAATGAGTTGCCGTACTATCTGATTTGTCAGAAACTGCTCTGACGTTTAGAGTCTCCCAATGGCAGAGCAGAGAGGCTAAGATTACGTGCTTATCAATGGGGGACACATAGCATCGGGTCAGAAAGTTCCCTTTCAGGCGCTGGCCCAATTAGGCCACCATCCGGCCAATTAACTGCCCCAAAATGTACTCGCTATCAAAGCATGTTCCTAAATTAGACACCACTTCAACCCATTTCACCGGAGTTTGAGTGCGATATGCTTATCAATTTGAACATGACACAAAAATAGGAAAACACTTGAAACGAACTAAAAACAAACATCAAGTGGGTTTAGTTCTGGTGTGATGATTGTCAATTCTACTGTAGATAATCTCTTTTGTGAAAGAAACTAACGGTTCTGTTCACTTCTGTCTGTGATCCAGCCCATGCGACCTCTGAAAGCAACAGCCACAAGCTCGCAGCCTGTCCTCACCATCCAGCAGGTAGAAACCATCTTCTACAAAATCCAGGACATCTTTGAGATCCACAAGGAGTTCTACGATGCCCTCCTACCCAACATCCAGCAGTGGGACGAGAAGGTCACCGTGGGGCATTTGTTCCAGAAGCTGGTGAGTAATGGGGACTGAAACTACAGTGTGGGTCTTTTCCCCCCTCTCTCCATCATTTGCAGGGTACATAAATGACCGTTGGAAGGATAATTATCCAACTCACATTTGTACTCACTCGTTTAAATTACACTGTGAGAGTGTGTGTGCCCTCCCACGTGTCTGAAATGTTGCAGCCTCCGATCTGTAGAGCCTTGTCATAATTGCACTGGATTATGTTGCTTGCTCTCAGTACATAATGTAACTACATCATCATTATGGGTGTGCATGCATGTGTCTGTGTATACAATTAGCAAGGCTCCAGGCCTCAGCTTGTCTCAAAGTCAGCAAGCCCTCCCTCTGTGTTGCATCATTGCATTGGCAGATTTGCAGTGGATAATGCAATTTGAACAGGGCTCCTCGGCACATAACGTACTGTAAAGGCGCCCTCACATGCGTGTGTGTCTCTTTTAGATACTCATTACATTTTATTGGCATAGAAAGTCTGATGCAACATGCTGTAATGGAGACTTTCAGCTGATGGATGAAACTGAACAAAATATATGAAATTAATAACAATTTATGACTTCAGTGGCCATTTTCAACAATTTGAATGTCCATAGCTGAATGCTTTGAAGTAATGAAACACTGGCACACTGTGTCCTGTTTACCCGGCCACGTCTCACTGTGTGTGGGTGCTAACAGGATATTGTGCTTTATAATTTTCCTGGACTGGAAACTAGACGGACAAACTGTCCATTTAGGAAAGTGGCAGTGACTTGCTATAAACCTCTTCTACCTGACAGTAACAAGGTTAAGCTCTTAAGTCAAATTTCCAAAGAAGCAGTAATACAAAACCACATTTTTATTTTGTATCGAGTTATGGTTATAAACAACATAATACTTAATAACAAGGTAGGGCTGTCCTACGGAATCCCTAGTTTACTAAATCATAATATTTTGTCGACTAATACATTACATGATTTAAACAACAGATCTGTATAACTGAGTTTCTCCTCAAAAAGAAATGCAAAAGTACCACTTTAAAGCTTGTGGTTACCAGAGACAGGATCAAAAGTTTCTTAAAATATAAAATCAAAGACCAAAACAACCAGTTAGTTGACAAACAAGAGGGTACATCACAATAACAACATTCACTCCAATTCGTTTTCTCTTCAAAGTTTTAGTACCTTGTCAATAATTAGACAATTTAGTTTGAATGTGTTGCATCATTGCACAGTAATACCGATTGAGTGTCATAGTTAATTTGATGTTAAATTAGCAACAGCTTACTGATAAACTCATTGCCTTAGAGTCCACTGAGAACTGTGTATGCAGTTTTAGACATATATCTTTAAATGGTATAACAATAACCAGATAAAGATGTTAAACTGGTGTTGGATCAGTGATTAAATGAGTCTATTATTCAGCAGCACAATGTTTTTGGATCTTAGATGTCATTCATGTTGTTAATGAGCTGTGATTTAATCAGATGCCCATTATTTGAGATCATGTGTGACAAGTCATGATCACACTGTTGTTTTGACTAGAGCACAGCAAGAGGTATCATGCCAGCTCAGACAAAGGAAAAATACAGTACCATGACTAAACAATCTAAGTTTAAGTCCTGAGGACAGAAATAAACGAGACTATACAGCCTGGCTAGTTAGCTAACATTAGCATGCCAAAATGCTTACAATGTCAAGGATGTTAGCATTTGTAGACCAACTTTGCTATCCATCGAGCCATGCCACTAGCAGGTTATAAAATAAAAAAGCAAATGTCTACTTACATCAATACATACATTAAAGTTATAGTTTTTTATTTGACTATTAAAGTGATAAAAAAAGAGCAATGAAAGTCTTCAAAAACATGTTTAAAATGCATTTATTTTGTAACAACAAGCTCTTTTTCATAGCTAAAGTAAACCTTTCCCACTTACAAAAATCTCTCAAAGGAATTAGATACTTTAGTTCAATGCTGGCCGGCAGAGGCTGCAGCTGAGCCCTATCAATGTCTAGAAGAAGGTGAGAGAAGTTGGAACTGTGGCTGGCTTTTATCCTGTTCTCTGTAGTTGTGCCTCTATGTTCCTTCAGTGGCCTCCATGTGGCGGACAAGAATCATTAGGGAGTGAAGCAGCTAATTACACCGCCATCTGCACCCTCACACTACAGCTCTGACTAAATGTTTAGCTGCCACATGACACGCTCACGTACGCACATATATGCAGCACAGATGGGATCTGATGACTACACTAATAAGTGACACTTGGTGGTGCGACTCCTGGGGTCCACAGGGAGGAGGGGGGATGAGAGAAAGCCCTTAAACTGCAAAAAAGAATGACATTTCTACATGAGAGCTCTGTTCCTTTTCCATGCTATTAAATACAAGCCAATGCACCATATATCGATTTGCCAGACAGTTTTCCAGGGTTGCTAACGCATTTAAAAGCTGTACAAAACCAAATACCTTGATGTATATAGAAAACAGTCTAAGATTCATAAAAGTACAATTTAAAAAGACGAAATATTCCCACAAAGACAAACTAGATTAAATTGTATTAAGAACCTAATATTAAATATTCAATGCTAACTTTTTGTATGCGACTGTTTTCAACTCGTGTTGTGCATACATTTCAGTAGGTAACAACGTTTGATATTATTTTGCAATGACAGTTTTGTGATGAAATGTTACCTGGCTAGCTAGCTAACCATAGTATCTTTGGTAACCTTGCTGTCTCGTTGTAAACACATACAGTATGAGTTAAGTACTGTACACTCTGCAGTAGCAAGTAGTTACAGATTCAGTTGTTTTTACAGTTAGCCGCTCCACCAGCAGCTAGCTAGCTAGCTTAGCACTTTCTCAAACCAGATGCTAGTTTCTCGAGCACTAATTCCTCATAATGATGGCATGCCATTGATATAGTTATGCAAGACGAGTCGTGATATTTATCCATCAAACCAACATGCTGGTTACAGTCTGACAAACCTTTTTTTACATTTGATGTTGAAAAAACAGAAACGTTTATGGTATGAGAAGAGTGCTTATATCAGAAGTCATTAGCCTTGGCCTTAGCCTTAACGTTGACTTACATTTTAAATCCCAACATCCCAAAGCAGCTTTCTTTCATTTAAGAAATATTAAAAAGGCACAGCCATTCCTATCCCAACATTGCAATTTTGGAGAGGATGGCAGAAAGTGGCATGATATTTACTAGCACTCATGATGAGTCGATGTTTTTTCACCTTGAGATTTTGATTTATTTATGGATAAAGTGTGGCCACACAGAGGTGCTAGTCGTTGCACCATTTGAGAATGAGTATTGTAGTGAAATCTCCCCTTTAACTTCAAAGGGGAACAACATATTTCAGCCACGGAAGGAACTATGGCTCATTGCAGACAGCACAGTACTGTACAGCATCTGCTGCAGGTCAGTTAGCTGTAGTCAAGCATGTGCAGAATACAAATACTGCTAATTACTAAATACTCTTCATGCTGATGTCAGCTGAACAGTTCCATGCATGTGTTAACTTGATTAGTTGTCTGAATTCATTCATTTAATATATAATTACAAAAAATGGCTGTTTGTCTTCTTTTCTCATCATAATCATATGATTTTTGCTTTAACAGGAAGAGGCCTCCTCTTAAATTATAACAGCTATTTTTTGTATTCACAGCTGTAGAATTATTCAGAAGATGTTGTTAGGAACATAGTTTGGCTTGCAGCGTTTTGCTGTCCAGCATGTCAGTGAGGATGTTCTATTCAAGGCTCTAGTACTGGGATTAGTTTAGTTATGGGATTAGTTTTGTATCATAAAGATAAAGCAACACTTTCTCAGAATAAAGCAAAACTATGAGTTTAAAAAAAACAAAAACTAAGTCAAGCAAAATAAAATAAATTTCAAAAATAAAACTATAATTGCAAACAAATCATTTGTGTAATCATGTAAACTATAAGTATTTTTTCTTTGTTTTAACATAGATTTTTGTTTGCGGTTCTTGTTTCTTCTTTCTCAATGATCAGACTTTTGCTCTCGCTGCAGCTCTTCTCTTTTGCGCTCTCTCATTTTTTGTTTGAGATTTTGACACAAACCTCCCAGGTGGGCGGGACTTTCAGGGGTGTGTCCCCATTGGCTACTCAGCTTTTGAGTGACAGGCCACTACACCACAGATCATACAGTGCAACTCATGCAGCAAACTCCGGAGTCCACTCGGCCACGTTAGTGTTGGTGCCTCGTGGGGAGTTTTCATGAACATATCGGACTTATTTTATGGATTGCTGTGCATTATACTTGTGATGTGTTTATACTTTATTCCAACTTTAAATATTTTAATACCTGAACACACTGCTGCTGTTAAATAATTTCCCAATTTGGGATTGATAAAGTGTCTGTCTATTTATTTTATAGATTAAAAAAACACATCTATGTATTTTTAAGCTAAAGGTGATACACAATATAAACTGTAGGCCTATACTATTATTTATTTTTAATTCGACATACTATTCCTAGCCTGAGGAAGATATGAATAATCAACAGATTTGAATGGAATCTCTAACATTTTCATGTAGAATAAAGACAAAAGAGTGATTATACAAATTACATTTATTGAAATTTGAACCAGAAGATGAAGTCTCAAAGAATGTTTTAAATAAAAGGACATAAAACAAAAAGGTGGATGATAATAAAATCTATTAAATGTATATGTAAAGACATTTGGTCAAATGAAATGACACTGAGCCAGTGACAACAGCAACGCCCAGCGTGGATGAAGCTGGTGCAGGGGCCTCATTTATAATGCCGTGCGTAGGATTCACATGGGAAGGTTGCTTACGTAGTAGAAATCCAAAAAATAGGTACAGAAATTTTCCGATTCACCAAACATTGTGTACCGGCGAGGAAAGTGCGTACAGCACTTCCTACGCCGGTTTCCCTTTATAAATCACAATCGACTCGAAATGCGGTGCAGCTTTTGCGGGCTTCACGTAACGCCCATTCATTCATTCATTCTGACTTTATGAAGAAGATCGCAGGAAATGACGACAGAACAGCTAAAAAAGACATCTCACACCGTGTCAGATGTTGGTTATTTTGGGGAGGTCGAGATAAATCATATTGTTTGGTGGATGCAGTTTGAACCAGAGCAGCAGCATGGAGGTCGGATCGTCACCAAAATAAATAAATAAGTGGTCCGAAAAAGGTTCATGACAAAAGAAATACACATAGCCTTCCTCAGGCAGTGTGTTTGTACCGGGGACAGGAGACACCCCCTTGATGAGAAACTGTAAGAAATGATCGGGGAATCCCTCCGGAGTGGAGTCATGACGACTGGATCTGAATTATGTTTTCGTATTTGGTGGTTTGTGTCCCAGCTGTCGATCAGCTGTGCGCAGCGTCTCCACTGCAGCAATTATATATCCAACAGTTAAAGGAAATACAACTAATGTGTTGTGTTATATTATCTGTACAATTTACCACATGGTGTTCTTAGTTTCCATACCTCCTGTGTTTTATGAGCGACTTATCAAGTCTTAGCAAACGGCATAACACATGATTAAACATGGTAGTATATAAAACCATGCTCGTACAACCTATAGAAATGCAAAACCGCATCATTTATGAGAAAACATTTCATAACATTAACACAACATATTCGAGGTGGTTTTAAATAACATATCCGTATTTATTTATTTCTCCAAGTTATGTTCTTGTGTGCACTGAGGAGTCTCAAACAGGCGTTTGTTTAATCATTTTAAGATTGGCTTTAATCAATGTTTGAAAATGAATTCTTCATATATGATAAATGAGAGGTAACATTTTATTTATGGTATTATTTCCACATATTTCTCTCCATTCTTCCTTCTGCCAACGGTGTCGCAGTTTCTCGTCTCTCCCGTTGTTGTGCTTAGTGCGTACGCATGGGTTAGAGTTTGCACGTTTTCCCGTCAAGTTAGTATTTTATAAATCGCAAACATTGCGTAGAAACTGGCGTACGCCATTTTTTGAGCGTATATCCCTTTGTAAATGAGGCCCCTGGTCTCTCTTCATGCCCCCCCTCCGTGCTGTCCCCTCAGAGGAAGTGGGAAAACGGGATAAGACTCTGGAAGCCACGCTGTCTCAATGATCCACACTGTTAATATGAGAGGAATATAAATGTTTTAGGAAATGAAAAATATGAAGTTAACAAATAAAACACTCAGGGGCAGTCATGGACGGTAGGTTTTCCTACAAAGTTAACTCAGCCTCCATTGATTTTCATATCAAATTAGCGTGTTAATAAAATAAGCTATCATGGCTTATACTTGCATATCTAAACAGAATCATGAACGCTTGTTGGTAGAGTCAGGCACACGAGTCCGTTTGAGTGTGTGCGCCGGTGTCTGAACGCTCACTCACTGCTAGCTATGTAGCTAACTGTTAGGCTACTTAGCTTGCATTGCTATGGATCTAAAGGTAGCACAAGCTAACTTTCATTGCACAGCTTTACTTCTCACTTAACACAATAAAGAAACAGACCGTATAGTACAGCACAAACAACACAAATGATCAATACTTACATATATTTTCACTTGTAGTATTATAATAATTGAAATGCTGGTTCTTCTGGGGGTCTTCTGTCCACGCTCAGCTAGCTACCGCACCGCAGCTGCACTGTACAATCGCTGGAGGACTGGGCTGTCACTCAAAAACTGAGTAGCCAATGGGGACGCACCCCTGAAAGTCCCGCCCACCTGGGAGGTTTGTGTCAGAATCTCAAACAAAAAATGAGGGAGCGCAAAAGAGAAAGCTGCAGCGAGAGCAAACGTCTGATCATTGAGAAAGAAGAAACAAGAACTGCAAACAAAAACCTATGTTAAAACAAAGAAAAAAGACTTATAGTTTACATGATTACACAAACGATTTGTTTGCAACTTATAGTTTTATTTTTGAAATTTATTTTATTTTGCTTGACTCAGTTTTTTTTCTTTTAAACTCATAGTTTTGCTTTATTCTGAGAAAGTGTTGCTTTATCTTTATGATACAAAACTAATCCCATACTGCCCCCCCATCTCTCTTTCTGTTTCAGACTCTCCTTTTTTCTGTCCCTACTTTTCATTGTCTTCCTCACACCTACTCACTCAAACACAACGAGTTGATTTCCTATCTGTGACTTTGACCTGTGATTATTGGCATTTGAAGTACAGACGTTATGCTTGGAGGGGCGTTGCTCATAGTCCTGCGTCACAGTGACGGATGAAGATGAAGAGTTTCTATATGGCTGTAAGCAACATGATGATCTGTTGAAACACCACAAAGGCCTCTAAAGCTGCACCATATATCGATTTTTAACATCAATATTGTAATGTCTGCATGTAAAATAGTCACATTGCAGAGGGAGATGTCAAGTAAGGCAAATCAACTTAACATACCCCATACTTCAACTTTCTTTTGTGCATAATGCAAAAAAGGAAAACTTGCACATTTCTACATTTCCATTACTAATCTACAGGAAATGTTTTCTTGTGATGTTGTTGACCAGAAACAGCTTTCTTATTTATTATTTTCTATGCAGATGCACACCCCTTTAATCATACAATGATTATTTGTTCATATATATTGCAAAATGAAACTCGCCAATATCGTGCAGCCCTAATGACATAATTATGCTCGGTTTGTACTTTCCAGCCGAGCTGCCGAGTCAAAAACCAGACAGGCGGATTTTTCCCTTCCATCCAAGGTTTTGGTTTTGACTAGAAGAAGTCTCCAATTATCATTCATGACAGATATACACTGACACTTGTTTGGCTGAGTTCTTGTTTGTGTACATCTTTCAACGCTATGCTATGATGATTATATCACAAAATCACTGTTGGCTATTAGTCATCTGTTCCTATGAATGCATTGATCTACACAGTCATCTTGTAAGTGTCATATCAGGCCGATGGTTGCCTCATGTCTCCTCACTTGTGCCCAGTTAACCCTCCACTTCACACTCTGAGAGGAAGTGGAAAGAGAGGACAAAAGTAACAAGTCAAACTCATTCACTATATTCAGCTGAATCCAATCTCACTGCTTTAATAGGGTGCAGTCAGCTCTTCATCCCAGCCATTCAAGTATGGCTGTAGCAGGATGCATATTCATGCCTGCTGCTCGGCAGCTTGTGTTACAATGCACATACAGTGCAGCAGAGAGGGCTGGTAATGAAAGGGAAAGTGAATCTGCTCAGAGCCAGTGGTGGGGTGGCACTACTATGGGAATGTGATTAGCCTGTGTGCATTAACTGTACAGTATGTAACTGTGTGAGTGATTATTGTGCGAACGCTGATGGGGCTAGATTAACTGCAGCACTCTTTTCAACCCTTATCTCCAGGCAAAATTCTGATGGGACTAGAAACTAATTAATCTGCCAGAGCCGTATATGAATTTTAATGTAATGGTTTAACGATATGAAAGTAAGTGATACTGAAGGGGAAAGCAAGTTGTTCTCACTCTACTGTATTTTGGTTTATAGCAGACTTGTGTTGTGATAGAAGATTAGTTCACTTAGGAAGTTAGACAGTTAACTAGTTACTTGTTAAGTCTGAATCCTTTTAAACAATTCACATCAAATAGAAAAAAGGCACTTATTTATGCCACTATCTTTTTCTTTTTTTACAGGCCAGCCAGCTGGGAGTGTACAAGGCCTTTGTGGACAACTACAAGGTGGCACTAGAGACGGCAGAGAAATGCAGCCAGGCCAACGTCCAGTTCCATCAGATCTCGGAGGTAAGTTTATCCTCCAAAGATGATCGGAGAATCAAGGAACAGTTGAAAGGATGTAGGGAAGAAGTCTCTGAATAACAAATATGCAGCATTTTTTTTATTCTACGCTTATTTTTGCATTATGAAGATTTGGCATCATTTTTATCACATGATGAATGTTTCTGTGCGATGGATTTGAACATAAAAGCATATTTTTAGACACTATAATTAACATAAACTCAAAAAAGATCAAATCCTTGCTCCCTTACAATATGTCACTTATTTTTAAGATTTATGCAGTATTGAAAGTTATGGGGTAAGACATCTCTTACTGTGTTAAAGGTGGGGTAGGTAAGTTTGAGAAACCGGCTTGAGATACACTTTTTGTTATATTCCATGGAATGCTCTTAACATCCCGATAGCAATGAATATCTTAAGTGCTTTGACAAAAAGTCCATACAAAAATGTCATCTGTGGAACCTGTGGTACTGTAAAAAGCACGACCAATCATTTTAGCCGGCCCGGCTAAAGTAATTGGATGGCCTACCTGCCTGTCAGCCTTCCATCTGTGCACAAACTTATCTCGTGCCCTCATTGGTCATGTGCGCGTTCGTGTGTGTTGGAGGAGGGGCTCTGTAAGGAAGTGGCAGATTTTTTCCGGCTGTGTATTTTCAAATTCTAGCGCACTCGAGCTGGTTTCTCCAAAATTACCTACCCCACCTTTAAGGTTTACTTCCTATGAAAGACATAACAGTAAGTCAATGAAACAATAAACCAATCTGTTATTTGTTCTAAAGGGTTGTAAACCATTATGTTATTCTTCTTCAGTAACATGAATGAGAAAACTAATTCACATGGAGTGATGGTAGAGGGGAAGCTAGGCGAGTCGAAACATCCTCTTTTACACAGGAAGCAGCAGGGTTTACGAGACATGTTGTCTTGTTTTGAGGAACACAAGCTTAAACTCAGTAAACTGATTTATGTTAACATATGCTACACCTACATAGGACAAGTAAGGATGAATAATAAAACAGAATACTTTTACTGCTCATTATATGATCACATATATCAAGCACAATGGTAAATTTAGTATTGAGAGCTGAAATGGTGGAGGGTGGTGATCTCAGGTACTAAAATCAGTATGGTTGCTTTGAAGGTGTTTTACATGTAGTTGTCAAATAACATCTGTGACAGAAGTGATAACAGTGGAAAGGTTAAACCTGCTCTTTTCCCTTGTATCCATGCCACATTTATTAATACTGTGCACCAAAAAAAATTGGCAAATTAACTGAACCGTAAACAAAAATACAGAGGCAAAATATGTATTATAGTCATAGATATAACAATGGGATATCATAAAACGTGACTGACAAAAAGCTCAATTTTAAATGCAGTTACATTTATGTTGTAATTGTAAACCCTCCATGCCCTGTTATGTTTTCAAGCCTTTTTTTCACAGCTTTCTTTTTCATTTTTGAAACAAACGGAACATTTCAAATATTGTCAACTCTCTTATGCTGATGTCATCCCCTTCATCCACACACAAAAAAAAGAGAAACAAAACACAAGGGGGGAAATCCGCAATATAAGATAATGCAGAGTCAACTAATTCTATAAGCAATTTACTCCAATGCATGATATTACTGGCCTTTTGCAACCATAATATGTAATGAAGAGGCCGCGACCACTTATTTACAACTCATCAAAGGTTCCTCGCAATACATTGGTGGGGAAGAATTGATATCTGTTTATCCTACCACTTTGAGGCAAATCTACATTAGGAGTTGAAAGGAGTTGAACATGACACTGCCTTTTGACAAAACAAGGTGCTTTCACAAAGAATATAGTTTTGTATCCATTACTGCTCAAGCCGATGGAAGTTCTCAATTTATATTGAATCAAACACCACAACATTTGGATCAATGGACATAACCACACAAAAAGTGCAAAGCTGTTTTCTGCACTTCTGACATGAAGAACATGAATCATCCCATTTTGACCTTTACCACCCACTGATGGGACACTAACATTGCAGAACTTCCGCAGACTGCATGAAAAGCTACGTACTGTAAACATATGTGTATGACTAGCTTACACTCTCTTCCTTTCTCTAATTTTGGTAATTCTCCCGAACAACGCCCTGTCTTAACACTAATCCGATGACAATGAACTGCAGAGTACTTACTGAAACTTGAGTTTTAGTCTCAAGTTTTAGTCTTAGTTTTTTTAATTAAATCCTTAATAGATAGTGTTTTGGATTTGCGCTGTGGTGGATTTTTTATGCTTTTAACTATCATTTACTGTGATGTAAACTTGTGAAGGGTGCATAGACCAGTCTCCTTCAGTCTGCTGCAGTGACCCCATACAGTATTTCTGCATTAGTTATATCTGCCTCAATGTGTGTGTGTGGGAGTAAGTGTGGATATGTGTGTGTATAATTAATTAAATTGATTATTCCACTCCTCTCTCCTTCTTTCAGAACCTCAAAGTAAAAGGTCCTAAAGACTCCAAAGATTGTACCACAAACGTCTCAATGGAAGGTAAGTGTTATGTGGGTGTGTGTATGTGCGTGCACATTCTTGTCTATTTGTGAGTGTGTATGTGTTCATCTGTGTAGACTAGCTTGCTGCTTTAAGACTCCAGTCCTGCCCCTTCTACTTGTGTATGCAGTAGCAGGCTTTGCGAGGCAAACCGGCACATGAACACACACACACACACACACACACACACACACACCACACACACACACACACACACACACACACACACACACCCTTTCTCTCTCTGCCGCTCTGCCTGTCTGCCTGAGAAAGGAGGCAGGAGAACAGAGTGAGGAGAGAAGATGAGGGACATGGAAGTGCTTCTGGTTCTCAGGCTGTGTTGTAACACAACGACTGCTTGATATGATGTGCCGCCGTTCGATGTATAGGCGACTTGGAGTGTCGTCTTTCCCTTTTTTCTGTCGTTTTTCAACGAACCGGGATGTCATCGTCTTTCATTGTAAGGTGGATTGATCGTCTTTAGTGTTTGCCGTGAAGTTGGGACACTTATAGCTAAGCTGTCGGATTGATTTTGGATGTTTGGAGTATTAAGTAACGCTCATGGTGCACGTATTATCTCTCTGCTGTACAGTATAAATGTGTTTATTTTGGATTTTTTATCTGTTCTTGCTGAGTGAGGATCCTCTGGAGCTCACTCATACTGGCAAACTGCAATTATTCATGTCTTTTATCATACAAAATGTTCTGAAGGACAGCAGCTTTTTTCTGTTTATCTGTGTTCAGAAGCCGGGCACGTTTAGTGTAGTAATATTAGGACTGCTGGCCCCAGACTGCTCCTGGTGGAGAATACTTATCGCCGGAAACAAGTCTGATGTGTGTGTGAGGGAATGAGTGTGTGTGATAGGGAGTTGGTAGATCCTTACATGCTTGGTGTGTGCTCTGCTAATGTCATGCAAACTTGTGCAGTTTTGGGTTTATGGCACAACTTAACCAGGGAGAAGACTTCTCTGCAGGGAAATTGTATGTGGCTTAGTCAGTCTGAGAGAGGGTGGGTGTTCATTTGTTTGTGTGTATGTGTCAATTGTCAGCTTCATGTACCTGTGAACCTGTCCGTTAATTTATGCAGCGTAAATGAGGAATAACATATCATTTTCTCGTCTTTACTGCTTCGGCTAAATGATCATACACTGTAATATTGGATTGCTGTACTACCACCTGGTAATGGTGGTTAAATAGCATGACGCTTGCGTAATATTCCCTCAACAATCAGTGTTTGTCAGCACCCAGGGGCAGCTGCTCTGATTAGAGTTTGAATTACATTTCCTTAATTACCTGGCGAGGTAGTCCAGGGATTTCTCTACCTCAGTGACTTCCTTTTCTGTTCCCTCCATATTTCTGTTATCGTGTTTTTTTCCCAACTCCTTTCTTCTAGGGGTGTGAATCTTTTGGTATGTTATGATGAGTTAAAACCATCAATACTTGATCCAGTACATACAGGGGTTACGTTTATCTATTCTGCAGTAGTTAATTATGGCATATGAGCCAAGTAGCATGTGAATAATGTTATGGAGTTTTTATATTTATATATAAGCTGTATCAACTGATTGCAATAATGTTAACACATAAAGGCAAAAGTAAGACAAAATGTGTATTAATTCATCCTAAAGTTGCACAAATAAACACTTTTTTCTATAAATGTCTATCAATTCTTACTTTAGAGAAAGTAATGTAAGTATTTCTCCATTTTCAGTGACTTGTATAATAACAAGTCATACAAAAACATGAACATGCTTCCCTTTCCATCATTAAAATTGGTAGTCTTAGGCTAGCTGCGTTTTTAATTTCTCAAAAACATTTCAAAAATGAATTTCACACAAATTGATGCTGTAAAAGTTTTCAATAAATCACTCAATGATGCTCGACACAACTTTGACTTGGTAGAAGAAAACAATAACAATTTTATAAATGTTTCCCTCAACCCTACTTTTATCCCTGTACCCATCCTTGCTCCTTCCATGTGATTCAATTGGACCCCAGCCAAATGAACTGACGTTCAGTTTTGTGTATTCTCTTTATTGAAAAAAGGCAATTTGTCAGGCCTGTTAACATATAGTACAGCTCACCGTTATCTGGCTGCAACCTCTAAGTGAAACAATGCTAATGAGAAGTACTACATTAGATAGCATCTGACATCCTGTTTTACATGTAAATTGGGACTTACCCCCCCCACTATCTACTTTCTTAATCCGTATCTACCCTCTACCTATCTGTCATTCATTTCCCTCTCCTATCGTTCCGTTGTGTCCATGTCTTCTTCCGTCACGGCTCTTGCTAACATTGCATACTGAGTTTCTTGCCAAATGAAAGCTGGCAGACCCTGCGTCCTCACTGTAGACCCCTGCAGTGTGGTGCTGTTCAAAGACTTTGCCCACGTGTCTATCGTCTCCTTATCAAAGATGATCTATCTGTCCGTCGGCCAAGTCGTCAGGACGACCTTGAGAGAGGGACCAATCAGAGTCAGCTCACTGTGACGGGTCATCGACTTCCAATAATCCTCCTCTCCGTCTTCTCATCCTCTCACGTCCTGACTCCTGACCGGACTTTGAACCTCTCTGTTATTGAGCTCCCTCGTCCAGACTGTCTCAGCAACTATTTGATGGATTGCTGAGAGATTTTTGTGCTGACTAATGTGCTTCAAAGGAAGAATCATACAAACTTTTGGTGATCCCTTAACTTTCTATCTAGTGCAGACATCTCGATTATCACGTTATCACATTAAATGTATGCACAACGTCCACAAATGTTCTTCCTAGTTCTCTGAGGAACTTTTGCATGCACCATTGACATTCTTTAAAGTTAACAACAGCATGTTAGCATTGTCACTGTGACCATGTTAGCATGCTGATATTAGCATTAGGCTAAAAAAGCCTAATGTTTCTGAGCTGCTAACACGACTGCTTAGTCTAGTTTTCATGAAGAACCAAGGTGCAGTACAATTTTAAACATGCAGCACGTTAAACATTAATAATCATTTGTGTTCTTACTTACATATACAACCAGCCAACATACTAGCAACTAATGTGTACTTAAATGTACTCAACTCAAACCTGGAATTAGCCAAGGCAACCTAAAGGCACCTACAGTTTCCCAAAGTATTTGAGTTGAATACAAAGCAGTATGCACATAATTGTGTTTGCAGCCTCTTGTAGTCCGCGCAGGTCAAGCTGTAAATCCTCTGGGAGTTTGGGGCATTGGTTCATCGAACCAGGACCAGCTGAGAGGGCTGCATTATTAATGACCAGAGGCTGGTGGAACTTCAAAGAGCATCAGCAAGGCCCTCTAGAAGACTTATACAGTTCATCAGTGTATTCTTGTGTGTGTGTATTTGAACATATAGGAGTGTGTTGAGTTTAATATGACAAGCCCGATCTGTGGATCTGAACATGTTCCCTGTAGGTTTGTGCTCTGGCCCTTTCATATCTTTTAAGGAGGCGAGAAGAAGAAAGGAAGATGAAGAGTACAGAGAGGGATGGAGAGAGATGACATGTCTACTGTACAGCTGATGGGAGTGACGTTGAATGGTTTAAACAGAAAAGTGTAGCACCGAGTCTCCCTCTCTGTGGGAGCAGGCTGTCTGGGACGACCTGCCCTGCATACAGCAGGCACATCACTTGGATAGCTTTCCTTCCCTTTCCATTTAAAAAAGTCAGTTGTTTTAAGTCCGTTCTATAATACATTTGGATTAACTTGATCACTGAGTGGAACAGTGTCAGCTGGTTTCCTATATTCTTATGCCCTTGTGAATATGCTTGTATTTATTGCATATCCTCTTTCTGAGTGCATAGCAGCATTATTATACATTTTATGCATGGTGACGCCAGTTGCTTTATTATTTTGAGACCTTGAGACATTTTTGGCATTTCATTACTGTTGCAATCCAGGTCTGACAGACGAAAGAATAAAAGCCCTCTCCTTTAACATCACACCCCCTCTTTATTCATATCTATATGCGTTTCTTCCCATTCCTCTCTCCCTAGGGGTCCTCTCATCTGCCACCTTGCCTGCCGCCCATCTCCTTGGTGTCATTTTATTTCCCATCTTTCCCTCTGTCTTATCCGTGGGAGCTGTCATTTATGTCAGATCTGTTCTCACCATCTCAGGAGCAAAGCCGTCCCTAGAGGAACTGGCAGAGTGCGGAGGTGGAGGCTCAAACTCTGATTCTATATATAGCACGCATGCTTTATGCGTGTGGTTTATGTTTGCATCCAAGACTCTGTTGAAGTACAGTGCCAAGGCAGGATGTAAATAACCTAGCAGGATCATACATATTTAGCGGAAGCAAACTGTATCAAGGCAAGGCAAGTTTATTTATATAGCACCTTTCAACACAAGGCAATTCAAGGTGCTATACAAAAATGAAAGATATTAAGACAAAGGCATTTAAAAACAGTCATTAAAAAGCAAAGATAATAAAAGAAAAAAATACATGAATAAAAAGTTACAGTGCAGTTTAAGATATGAATAGCTCACACAGAAGTTCCATTTTACTGATGCCTTTCTTTAAGGTTTCTCCGAACATGAGCTGTGTACACTTGTATGGCACATACGTCCCGATCAGCATACACAGAGAAAATCAGCCAGGACAAAGTCCCCAGACACTGATTCCCTGGGGTTACTAGCCCCAAATGTTAATTATACACAACGGCTCAGTTTCAATTAAAAGCAGCGGCAAAAAAGAAAAGTCTTCAGCCTGGATTTAAAAGTAGTAAGAGTTGCAGCGGACCTGCAGGTTTCTGGGAGTTTGTTCCAGATATTTGGAGCATAATAACTGAACGCTGCTTTACCGTGTTTAGTTCTGACTCTGGGGACAGAAAGCTGACCAGTCCCTGAAGACCTGAGAGATCTGGATGGTTCATAATGTAGCAGGAGGTCAGACATGTATGTTGGGCCTAAACCAGCAGCAGTATTTTGAAATCAATTATTTGACACACAGGAAGCCAGTGTAAAGACTTCAGAACAGGAGTGATGTGATCCACTTTCTTAGTGTTAGTGAGGACTCGAGCAGCGGCGTTCTGAATTAGCTGCAGCTTTCTAATAGATTTTTAGAGAGACCTGTAAAGACACCATTGCAGTAGTCAAGTCTACTGAAGATAAACGCATGGACAAGTGTTTCCAAATCCTGCTGTGACATTAGTCTTTTAATCCTAGATATGTTCTTTAGGTGATAGTAGGCTGATTTAGTAATTGTTTTAATGTGACTTGAAACTCAGGTCAGAGTCCATGACTACACCTAGATTTCTGGCTTTATCTGTTGTTTTGAACATTGCAGACTGAAGCTCAGCGCTAACTTTTATACGTTCTGCCTTGGCTCCAAAAACTATTACCTCAGTTTTATCTTTGTTTAATTGGAGAAAGTTCTGACACATCCAGTCATTGATTTGTTCAATGCACTTACTCAGTGTTTTGATTGGAGAATAGTCTCCTGGTGAAATGGTTATGTACATTTGTGTGTCATTCGCATAGCTATGGTAACTTATTTTGTTGTTTTTCATTATCTGAGCCAGTGGTAGCATGTAGATGTTAAAGAGAAGAGGCCCCAAGATGGAGCCTTGAGGAACCCCACATGTCATATTTGTCAACTCAGATGTGTATTTACCTATAGAAACAAAGTTGTTTCTGTCCTTTAAGTAGGATTCAAACCAATTTAGAACTGTTTCCAAAAGTCCCACCCAGTTTTCCAGTCGGTCTAGTAATATGCTGTGGCCAACAGTGTCAAACGCAGCACTGAGATCTAATAATACTAACACTGAAGTTCTCCCACTGTCTGTGTTTAAGTGGATGTCATTGAAGATCTTTACAAGAGCAGTCTCAGTGCTGTGGTTTGGACGAAAGCCTGACTGGAACACATCGAAACAGTTATTTAAATGCAAGAAATTACTCAACTGTTGAAAAACAACTTTTTCAATGATTTTACCTAGAAATGGCAGGTTTGATATTGGCATGTAATTGTTCATTACTGAAGCATCTAGATTATTATTTTTTAAGAGCGGTTTAATGACTGCAGTTTTCAGGGCCTGTGGAAAAATACCTGAGTGAAGAGACTTGTTTACGATCTGCTTTAGTTCATCAGAACTAAAAGAGTTCTCATGAACTATTGTGGGAAAAGTACTTGGTGTGAACGCGCCTTATATGAAGTAGATCTGAGGCCATGCAAGGAAAAACATTTTTGAGAAACCCTGTTGGAATAATATCAAGGCAGCAGGAGGAGGATTTCAGAAGTTGTATTATGTCCTCTAGGTTTTTATTATTAATCTGATGGAATTGTGTCATGGTGTCAGAACCAATAGTCTGCAGCGTGAACCCCGAAGATAGACTGCCTTTCTGTATGATTATTTTTCAAGTATGACGTGATCCCAGCCACCTTAGTCAGCATTGCATCATTTAAATACTGCTGTGTGTGTTCTATTGAACATTGTTTTGAAGGTTTAAGTAGGCGGATTTTAAATGTTGACATGTATTTATAGACAGCGACAGTTTCTTATCTTGTCTCTTGCGCTTCATTTCTTGGAGTGGGTATAAAAGAGGGCGTGGAGGGGGGACAGCTTAAATTAGAAATGATCAAATCAAAGCAAGACATTTGACTTGGAAGCACAGTAATGATGTTAACAAATAAATTAGACAATGTTCAGAAAGTGATTGCCTACAGTTAAGGTCTTGAAATATCCTCCTGAATCTTTCTGGTCTGAGACAGACCACTGAGTGAAAGTTCTGTCAATTCCAAGTCGAGACAATGACCGATCTTTCATATTGCAACACTTTTGTAGTAAATTATCAATCATATCGTATCATCAGTGGAACCATAGGTGTAGTGTTTTAACTCCGTAGCAGCTGAGTGGGAGTGTTTGTCCTTTTCAGAGTCTGAGGAAGTGTGTGTGTGTGTGTCTGCGTGTGTGTGACTGTGTGTGTGTGTGTGTGTGTGTGTGTGTCTGCGCGTGTGTGTGTCTGGGCATGTGTGTGTGTGTGTGTGTGTGACTGCGTGTTTGGACTTGTGTGTGAGCGACACTGACTCAGATCCCTCCTCTTCTCTCCCCACAGCTCTCCTCTACAAGCCGATCGACCGTGTCACCAGAAGCACCCTGGTCCTTCATGTGAGTACAGTCAGTGCACTTCTGCATTAAAGGATCATTCTCAAAGTCAAACAAAAACCAAAGGAAAAATGAACCAGTAGTAAAACATTTCTATAGGATGTTACTAGTTCAACAAAAGCGTAATTTCCTCTTTTAACTTCCAACATTATGTTGTATAAATACATTGTTTGGACATTAAGGGTAATACGGTTCAAGTAATTACAAAATAAGTAAAGTGATAAAATATGTTTTCTTGTGTTGCTTGTTTTTTGGGGGGATTTGACCCTCAAGCTGTCTGACTCATAAACACACAGGATTCCAATATTGAAAAATCAAAGCCTTCTTTTTGTTGTTTATCACAGTATCCTCTCAGCGTTTATACTATGCGCAGTGCAGTTACGTTTTTTTAATAAGAAGATCAAATTCAATCAGAATTTCTGCTCATGCTTGGATGGGTTTTTGTTAGGAAGTGAAAATTGATTTTAAAGAGTTTTAGAATAAGACTTTTGGACATTATTAGGCAAAGCACATTTATTTTTAAAGCATAAATGCAAAGTGCTTACACAGACAATTATACCTAAAGTAAAGTGTGTGTTTGTGTGTGTGTTTTAGGACCTGCTGAAACACACTCCTAAGGACCACCCGGACTTCCCACTGCTGCAGGACGCTCTGAGAATATCTCAGAACTTCCTCTCCTCCATCAACGAGGAGATCGACCCCCGCAGGACCGCCGTCACCACGCCCAAAGGAGAGGTGTGTGTGATGGCTTGTTAATGAATACACTTTTCATCTGGGAGTACTACCTGGAACTGTCCTTTTTAATTGTCTATAAATAAATTGCCCCAAGTGAAGGAGTTTCAAGTATCTCGGGGTCTTGTTCTCGAGTGAGGGAACAATGGAGCGTGAGATGGGCCGGAGAATCGGAGCAGCGGGGAGCGGTACTGCAGTCGCTTTACCGCACCGTTGTGACGAAAAGGGAGCTGAGCCAGAAGGCAAAGCTCTCGGTCTTCCGGGCCATTTTCGTTCCTACCCTCACCTATGGTCATGAAGGATGGGTCATGACCGAAAGAACGAGATCGCGGATACAAGCGGCCGAGATGGGTTTTCTCCGCAGGGTGGCTAGTGTCTCCCTTAGGGATAAGGTGAGAAGTTCAGTCATCCGGGAGGGACTCGGAGTGGAACCGCTCCTCCTTCGCGTCGAAAGGAGCCAGTTGAGCTGGTTCGGGCACCTAGTTAGGATGCCACCTGTGCGCCTCCCTAGGGAGGTGTTCCAGGCACGTCCAGCTGGGAAGAGACTAAGGGGTAGACCTAGGACCAGGTGGAGGGATTATATCTCTTCGCTGGCCTGGGAGAGCCTTGGGATCCCCCAGTCAGAGCTGGTTGATGTCGCCAGGGAAAGGAAAGTTTGGGGCTCTCTGCAGGAACTGCTACCCCCGCGACCCGACCACGGATAAGCGGGAGAAGATGGATGGATGGATAAATAAATTGGGAAAGCCCACACATTGTGCTTGGTTACTATAATACATGTATCAGGAATGTTTTTCCTGTTTAATGGGTTTGACTTCAAGTTATGTGTTTTGTCATTTGGTGCATGGTAAGTGTGACCCTTGATAGAGGAACAAACTCAGCATGAAGAAAAGGCAGCTAGTGATAATACACTATAATATAGACTTTACATGCCTCATTTGACAGAGGTGTGTATAAATCAGCAATTGTGCCTATTGATTTTCCTTTCTAAGCTTTCTCTTGTGCCAAAAAGGCTTTGTTTAACATTTTAGAATATGCAGTAACACTCACTCACCAAGACTTTTAATGTGTACAATTGATGGACTTTCCCTTTGATATCTAACAAACATTTAATAAGAAAAGACTAACGTGCGATTGTCCGCCCTTTAGGAAAGACTTAACTATTATATTTGTTTGCAAAGGGAATGTAGAGCTGATTGGGAGTCAGTGTTTGTTCTGAACATTTCTCTATCACCTTGAAGAAACCCATGTACCATCATTTGAAATTAGCAGGTTCAATCCAACTGGATACAAATGCCTTGATCTCCTTAAAAACAACACAACATTTATTTTTTCTTTAAACCGATGCTGCCAAAAGTCAACACTGTTGTGTCTTGCTTATCATTACTGTGTTTGCATTGTTGGGACAACAGAAAGTGACAACAGAAAGTGACATGAGGTGTGTTCGTAGGCTCGTCAGCTGGTGAAGGATGGCTTCCTGGTGGAAGTATCAGAAAGCTCCAGGAAGCTTCGGCACGTCTTCCTCTTCACCGATCTGCTGCTCTGTGCCAAGATGAAGAAGACGTCTGTGGGGTGAGTCCACTTTACCTCTTCATAAGTATCATAACAATGTGTTTTCCAGGGGAGGCATTTGGAGGGGGCCTTCTGAAAAGGGCTCCTTGGCAATGTGGCAAAAATCCTCATCGTGGTTATTTTGCTCAATATTAAGGCCATGATTATTTAACGTGATAACTTATTGGCTTTGCAAAGTTAATGCATATACTGCACTTAAAAAAAAGAAAAATCGTTTTTTGCATTGAATTTTGACCTAGGCTTTAAATGAATTATTCAATTTTTTAAATTAATTTAAAGTAGATAATGAATTAAATTAATAATATGATAAAAAAAATAAGATCATCTGAGCTTTAGTGCACTTCTCCACGCTCTTAACATATTCTCAACATTTTGAGAAAGTATATTCTTCCATTCTCAATAATACTTTATTTCTAATGTCCTGTTGTCATGACAACCAAAGAAAACAAAATTGTGAATGAAAATGTCATTTTGGTTAATCCCCCGATTTAAATATCCCCTTTTTAGGATCGCCTTCTCAGTGTTTATTTCTGTACTTCATTCTGCCCTCTACATCAGCATGTCAACCCCTAACAGTGAATCAGAAAGGATGAGTTTTACAGAGTATCCTGACTCCTCAAAGCAGAGAACGGAGAACTTTTTGAAGCCTCTATAACAAAAAAAAGGCTCTGGGCATTTTGCCTCTGGTATTTTTTGACAACGTAGGAGAATAAAGAACCAGGATAAAGGTATTATTCAAGAAAACATGTGCGCACAGGCAGAGGGTTGTTGAGCTAAAGTTAAGAGAGGACACAAACAGAGGGATTGTGTGTGTTATGTGGCTTGACACATGTTCATAGATTAAGCGTCACTTTAACCAGATTGCCTGTCGCTCGCCTCGTCAGCACGGCGGCAGCTGTTAGTCTGATTGGATCTTACTTCGGTTGACATTCACCGTTTGTCTGTGTCATTCTCAGCACATAGCGTTGCCATCGCTACCAGACCTGTAAATCAAATCATTATGGTCTGGAGTGTTATCTCAGCGTGCCCCCTACAGGCCACACACACACAGTTAGAGCAGCACAGCCATGCAAGGTCACTGAGTATCCTGAATCCCATTTTATCATTATCTCCATTCTATCATTGAGGAATATTATATTGAAACCGCCGCCACATGTTCCACTTCCAGAGTACTATATATATCATAATATATATCATCCTTATTTATGTTCCATCCTTGCTATTGTTACTGAAAGGATATGATGAAATATTCCTTATTTACTTGAGCTCCTACAAAAGAAATTATGAATAACATGTAACAAATTTAAAATCAATCATCTGAGTGTGAGTAAAACATTTCACAACAGAGGAGAGCATTGAGACACAGAGGGGTTGATGATGGAGGGGGTGAAAGATGAGAGGATCAGGATGGGCTTTGAGGGGTGTAAAATAAATGTATTTCAATACTAAATAAAGTAACAACCCATTTTTCCAGTTCTGCGACAGTAAGAGAGAAACGAAGACCACTTTTTTTAAAAGTTAAAGCTTAAAATAGCTTCTGATGAAGGAGTCATGCCGGTAATGAGTTGAATGCGCAGGAATGCAAATCAAAGTCTCATTAGTGACGACTCAAATCAATCTTCTCAGTTCTGTAATCTCTGCTGAGCGTGCATCATTTTTCATTAAATTGCATTATAGCTGCATGAACAGGCTGAACAGTATATCCTCTTTTGATGCATTCAGATACAATTAGTCCTGAGGTCAAATTAGCATACTTTTGAAAAAAGTGACCTTAGAATGTGGTTTTTCCAATTGGCTAAATACTGTAATTTGAAAGTCTGGCAGGATATTTCATGCTTTCTTTTCTTCTTTTTTATATATAGCTGTGAATATTGTAATGTTTCTATTGTAATGATGTAATACAGTATGTCTTAACACCATGGTGAACGGACAAATAGGAATTCTTTATAACAAATTAGACCAGAGATACATTGATTGTGCCATTTCAAAGGTTATCATGGCAACTATACAAGTGAATATTTAAAAAAGAAACTTTATTTCTGGCCAAACCTAATTGGATTGAGAATGTTCTATTAAGTCCGGATGTTAAAAAAATAAAAGCAATTCTCTGCTACCTTCGGTCTGCATATTTTAACAGCTTTTCCTGTCCTCAACAGTTTTGTCGATTCTTAAAAAGGAGTTAGGATTTATTGTACGATTTTTTTTCCGTCAGATTGTGTTTCATACCCTCCTTCTCAAACCTTATATCCCCTTCCTTCCCCTCTGTGCAGTCGCCATCAGCAGTATGAGTGTAAGTGGTACATCCCTCTGGCGGACCTGACCTTCCAGACCCTGGACGACTCTGACTCTTCGCCCAGCATCCAGGTCCTGCCCGAGCACGAGATCGAGGAGATGAAGATCAAGATCTCAGTCCTAAAGAGTGAGATACAGAAAGAGAAGGTAACCCTCTTGGTTTTCACTGGCATTTGAGACCTTTTTTTTCTTCTAAATGGGACCTTCCAGCAAATCAGTAGCCAATGTTCTATTATGTGAAACACCAACACTAGTGACTCAGGAGTGACTAATATGTTCCTGATTCTTATCATGGAATACACCAACTTTGTTGGAAGACTTCCTCATATCAGTGATTCCTTACTGGAAAACACTGCTGTTGTTTGTCTTGGACAGGTCAGGTATAAAGTGTTGGGAAACCCTTGTGAGTGCTTCAAATCTCAGATATCATAAATATATACAATAAGCAGTATAATATTCCAGTCTTCAGTAATTCATTTAACATTCTATTAATCTTATTCTGTTTTGCATGTTTTATGTACATTTTATTTGCACCATTGTGTCTCAATTCTTTATTTAGAAGATATTTAAGAACATTTAACCAGTCACAATGAAACAGACTTGCAGTTACAGGTAGGGTTGCAAAGGGGCGGAACATTTCCGGAAAGTTTCCATGGGAAGTTAAGCTGGGGAATTTTGGAAATAGAAGCATTTGAGCTCCATACTGTTTCAGAAATAATCTTTGATGTGGTTTAGAACAGGATGGCGTTTTATCACAGCAGAATTTAACTTTATCTCCGGTAGAATTCTGATCAGGCATTTGCTTTTTTCTTTTCTTTTAAAGCTAAGGATCTAAAATCTGCATTTCTCTAACAGGGCTGCAATAGAGGGGTATGAGCAGTATGAGGCATTGCTACAATGGGTGATCTGTTTGGTATTTTAAGCATGTTTTGTATAGGTATGGCCCTACAATATATTTTTCCAATATAATAATAATAATAGATTTAATTTGTTAGCGCTTTTACAGGTGCTCAAAGACGCTTTACATATATAGTGAAGAGAAAATAAAATAAAATAAAGGAACAACAAATAAATATAATATATATAGTTAAAGTTAAAGTCAAATAATACAAAAACAATCACATATTAAAAGCCAGATTGAAGAGGTGAGTTTTTGTAAGTTTTTTGAAGGTGGTGAGGTCAGTGCATTCTCTGATGGGTTGTGGGAGTGAGTTCCAGAGGGAGGGGGCAGCGACGGAGAAGGCTCTGTCCCCCCAGGTCCGGTGATTGATGTGAGTGGGGATGGATGGGAGGTTGGCTTCTGATGAGCGGAGGCAGCTGGAAGGGGTGTGGTGGTGCAGCAGGTCTGTGAGGTCAGGGGGCGGGGGGGGGGGGGGGCTGATGGTTGAGGGCTTTGTGAGGACTTTGAAGTTGATTCTTTGACGGACGGGGAGCCAGTGGAGGTTCTGGAGGACGGGAGTGATGTGGTCTCGGGAGCGGGTGTGGGTGAGGAGGCGGGATATATAGCATAATAGGTCCACTTTAAGTTCCCTATGAAGAGCCAACCTTCAATTTAGAAAATTCCCAGTTTATTCCCGTTAATTCCCATGGAAAATGTCCATCTTTGAAAATTCCCGGAATTTTGCAACCCTTGTTACAGGGAATACTAAAGATCTGCAATAAGGAAGCTGTATGAATTGGAACCCTCCCCAGTATTGTACGTCTTTGTATCTCTTTAAGTATTTTGTATGTTGCACTGCTACAGAAGCCTGGGGCTTTAGATTTCTATTGCCTTTGCTGTAGCTCTTATGCAAGGGCAATACAACCCTATAAATAATCTATAAATGTATCTTCAAACTGGACAAAACTGATTTGCACCCGAGATCGAAGTGCTGCATCACACTTGCTGGCAAATGTTGTTATATTTCTATTCTTATCTGTGCTGAAACACTGGTTCAGCGCCTGAGGTTAAAAAAAGAAAAGATGCAAGGTCCGCCAACAGTTACCCGTTGTTACAGTAATACACCGGGCCGAGACGCTGAAGGCTCCAGGGGCAGAGAGTTCCTGTTATTCCCGTATCACTGCGAAGTGGCCCACCCGGGGCTCAGAGAGGGGCCGCGGCTGGTGTTCAGAGTCAGAGGAGGCCGGAGCAGAGAGATTGAGATGATTGTTTCCAGGCTCTGACTCACGGCTTCCTGCTGAGGGCTGGGAGGATGTGTGTGTGTTTTTGTTTTCCTTTAATACTGACAAGAAGCCTGAATTATATACAAAGACTACCCCAGCATCAGGGTTTCCGTTAGCCGGTAATTACCGGTTTTTAGCTGGTAAAATTTATTAAAAACCGGTAAATTCAAAACCTGCCGGTCAAAATGTCTGGTATTAATTAGGGATGCTCCGATAGATCGGCCGCCGGTCATTATCGGCCGATATTCACTATTAATAGTTTGATCGATGCTCTCTATAAAGCCCGATCAGGAGAGCTGGATCTGATCGATATGGTCATAAACGCGAGTGAAGTATAACCGGACGCGAGAGAGAGATCAGATCAGCTGCTGAGTCAGACCGAGACACGCAGCTCTGCATAATCACCTGAAGCCCCGCCCACTGTTTAGCGAGCTGCAGGAGCTGCATGAGAAACTGACGGGCTGTCAGGAGAGAGGGAGGGAGAGGGGAAAAGAGAGGATCCGTTTCTCCCGTGTTATTATTCAAAGTTAATGTAAACTTTTGAATAATGTACTTCATCTACTACAAGTAGTTTGTTTGAATGTAATAATTATGTTGTTTGTGGAATCATTTATTGAAAAATGAATCTGAATTTTTTCGATCTGTTACGATTATAAACTGAAGCAATATAAAAATGAGCCCCGTGAACTGAGTTTTAAACATCAGCATATCTGTTCATAGTCCGGTAATTACCTGCTAACGGAAACTCTGCTACACAACTCTTATTATTATTAGTGAAATATGACCGGTAAGTTTCAAATTTGTCCGGTAAAATAAATTCTGCCCGGACATTTGACCGGCGAGAAAAAATCCTAGCGGAAACCCTGCCCAGCATGGCACTCAATTTCAGGGGTTTATCCACAGTGTTTTGTGGAAAATAGGAAATATGTCATTAATCTGATGCTACCATGCTGATAAGAAACATGACATGTAAGTCATAAATCGTTATGTTCTAATGTTTAGAGGTCATACAGTGGTGTGTAAACTAGACACAATGCAATACCAACACCATGATATATACTTTTAGTCAGTGTGCGAAATACCCGTCAATAATCGGGGGGGGTCCCCATCTCCCGTTTATTGCGCAATATACCGGTCGAAGATTTCTCAATATGTAGTAGGCCTCCTATACAATATTCCATGGATGCAAGCCAAGACAATCAGTAGTCTATAGCAGCGTTTCTCAACCGGTGCGCCGTCTGGCGTCTTCAGGGGTGCCGTCAAATCATTCTATATTCTGACGTTCATATGAATGAACGAATACGTGACCGTTAAAGAGCTGTTTGTTTTGGATTCTATGCGAGGAAATGCTTTTGCCAGCCAAAATAGAAGATATTTGTGAATAAATGTTTTGAATTATGAATACTGGACATAGGAAGCTTAAAAACATTTTAGTGACCATTGCAAGTGACAAATACATATTATAATTTGAGACCCCCCTTAAATTTAGCTGTTGAGACTTTCAGGGGGGCTCAGGTGTTAATCAGGGGGATTGAGCTCCCCCGGACCCCCCCGTATTTCGCACACTGCTTTCAGTGTATATTAAGTGTACTACCCTTTAAGTTGTTCCTATTTCATTACAACGTATTATATGATTTTATTTTAATTAGTTTTTTGTTATTCAGCATCAAGGTTTTGAATGCACAAATATTGGATTCATGTCACAATCATATACAAGTCTCCTCATATGATTTAAGATCATACAGTGTAGAGCAAATAACAGATATTTAAAGTGACAACATTTCAAGATGAGTTTAAGAAATTGATTTCAGATATATAAAAACTAGAATACTCTAACATTAAAATGTAACAAAAACGTTGCTCTTCAACAAATGATATTATTATTTATGACCAACAGTCATTCGGGGACGTAAACAGGAAGTATAATGCTGCCATCAGTTAGTAAGCTGTGGGCTACTACCTGACCCCTTTTGAAGCCTTTATTTGTCAATATGTTTGGCACATTTTTAGAAAGAAATAATTGAGTTGTTCCCGTTTGCAGTTTACCCATGAATATATAATGGGAAATGACAGGATCATTTTGATAAAAACTTCAAAATGTGATAAATCTCATGCCAGAATTGGAATTTATTTCAGTGTCTTTTTTTCTGTGAGTGGCTTTGTGGATGTTTATTTGCGATAGACATTGTTAGATCGTGTAAGACATGCTGAATCTAAAAATAGGGTCTCATATCTGAGTATCAAGATTTGAATTCTGACTGAGTCGAAAGTACCTCATGCAGTATCTCACGTATTCCCCTTCGACCTTCCCTTCAACTCTTACTGTTTTAGAGGCTATACAGCAATGTTTCGTATTTGATCTTGATAAACACTTCTCTATTAATCTCAGTATCGGGACTAAATGAGATATTACCTGTCTTTTTGTGTGTTTAGAAAGCACCGAAGGGGCAGAGTCGCGTGGACCGTCTGAGGAAGAAGATGAATGAGCAGGAGTCCTGGCTGCTCCTGCACTCTCCCACCATCCCTTTCCGCGTCCACAACAAACACGGAAAGGTAAAGTGTTCACCCCATGCTGTCACACTCTGCATCCATGAAGCTGCAACACTTGAGTCTCACCACTAGAGAGAGACATGACTCTTTCATTAAAGCGCTTGGCGATGGATGTGATTTAGCTTTCCAAATGAAAATCTTGTCACTGTGTGAGATCATTTCACATCAAAGCTTTTCTACTGGATACTGCTTCTACTCTCTTTATCATTTCTATCATGCTATTAATACAGATAGTCGTTAATGTGTGTTTGACCGTTTTTTTCTGTGTATGTAGAGCTATCAGTTCCTCCTCTCCTCCGATTACGAGAGGTCAGAGTGGAGGGAAAGCATCCAGAAACTCCAGAAGAAAGGTAACAGCTGGCTATTGGTCCTTTCTCACCTTAGACAACTATGTATCCTCCATCTGAAAATGGTTTCAAAGCACTTTTTACAGACTGTACTGCAGAAAAGTAGAAGTTTGAACTCAGCTATGTGGTTGCTGTGTGTTTCTCAGATCTCCAGACGTGTTTGTTGAGTCCTGTGGAGCTCCAGGTCCTGACCAGCTCCTGTTTCAAACTCCGAACTGTGCACAACATTCCTGTCACGAGTAACAAAGACGGTGAGAAACACTTCTGCTTTCTCCTTTTTTTCACACAATCACACACTCTCCTTCCTCTCCTCTTTGATTTGAGTTTAAATCCACACCAAAGCCCTTATTATACTCTAAAAGCCACATAATGAGAGCGGGGGGCCTGCAGGAGAGAATGTAGGTTACAATATGTTTCTCATCTAGCTCGTAGCAGTCAATGCCTCGCAGTGTGCCGCCGGTGGCCTGCGCTCAGCTCTTAGGCTCCATAATGTTTGTTTTTGCTCCAGATCTCCACGTTGCACCACTTTCAGAGGCTGGGGGTGACATTAAAGCCATCTGGCCGACCTGCTCTGATCCCCCCCCCCAATGGCACAAGGGTCTCTGCTTTCACGTGCACACACAACACACATGAGACAGACAGAGGACTCTGAAAGACACACTGTCTTAATCTTTCTCGCATCGCACAGTCAAAAATAAGTTTGCTTCTTATACAATCATGTCTGTGAGTCGTTATTTTGACATCCAATATCTCTAAAGTGCTGATCCTAGCCATTCTTGATTTGTTATTTCTTATTCTGGTTAACCTCAATGGAACTGGACTTTTTTTACAGCCAGCGAACAGTGGCGTATAGTGGATCAAATAGATTTCCTTTAGGGAAATGTGTTCTCCGCAAACCTCAAACACATCCCGTCACCATCTCACATCAATTTAGGATTGATTTACCTGTATGTATTTCAGATTATACATTTAAACCCTGCACACTCTGTGCTGTTTGAATCTTGGAGAAGAATCCCATTTGTTGGGCAACAGTCATTATTTCTCACTTATGGAAACAGCCTTGGTGAAGGTCTGCTTTTTCTGAGTACCCTTCTAATTTAAGTGCCAATTCAACCATTCATTCGTTATGCTGAAATTCATGAATACATTTTACACGCTCCGCAATCTAAGGTCAAATAGAAAGAATATGAATACTAAAAAAAGGGCACTCCGAACAGAGACTCTACCAGAAAATAATGCATGTATCTACAAAAGGATTTTAGTCCCATTGGGTACATATTTTAAGAAGTAGTTTTGTTAAAAATGTCAACTGCTTTGCGGCCTCCAGGAGGTTTTTACTTGCACGCTAACTCGCTCTGCTAACTCACCTTTCTGCTATGTAAGTGGTCGAACATTTGGCTTCAGGTCGTTAATGTTTTTCTTTTATTCCCCAGGGAGGCAATATATAAATCAGAGCTCAGGCATCACGTCTTGTCTCAGACATTTAAAGCACTCCTCATTGTAAGGTGAACATAAACACACACAGTGACACAGTAGGGCTTTAAATGCAGACCAGCTGTTTCAGGAATGTTTATTATAACTAAGATGATGGATGATATTGAAAACCCCTAAATAATCACTTCCATTTGACTCCATTGTGAGGATTATCAATTATCGCATATTAGATCATGGATTTCCACAGGTTATTGTTCAAGTTGGATGATAATTGAAAGAAACAGATCCCAATTTCGCTCTCGAAGCGGTAACTCGAACTTGAACCTTTGAACCTTCCCCCTGTGAAGCTCCCCTGTCGCTCATTCATAAAGCACACACACTCTCACACACACTCACATTAACCTGCTGGGTTGGTTGCTCTCCCCTCAGCTGCCCACAGTGGAGTCCTGCAGCCCTCCATGTTAGTTTATTTACCAGGAAACAGCTAGGCTTCAGAGGCCTTTATCAAAGCAAGAGTGTTCTTCATGTGTCTGTCGGCGGGGGTATCTCAGGCTACTAAACCAAAAACGTCCACCCACGAGCCTGCCGTGGGCGGCAAGCTCAGTTGTCATCACAGAAGACAGATTGTTGATGTGAAGTCTCATACCGCTCAGACGAAAGGTTGTCATAACAATTCATTTTCACTTAGGTCTTCAAATAAATTCATTTCCTCAGCCAGTCTCCGGTGCATTTGTTTTCATGTTTTAGCTAGATCCATCTGATGTTTAATATATCTCCCCAGGAACATATATTGGTACAGTATTAGATGTTATAAAGAGTGTATCCACAGTTTGGACCTGGAATAAATGAAAAACACATATAGATGCGCTGATGAGTCGAGAAATTGATACAAATAATAGCAAATATTTATATATAATCGATTAGTAGTTTAAGTAATTTCTGTCACAAACTTCAAAAAATTATCTTTTCAGCCTCAAATATGGAAGTAAAGATAATAAATAAATATAAAGATAATCTCTTTGCAATTTTGACTGTCAAAACTGAGATTGAAGAGAAACTGAAATAGATATTTTTAACTTTTATATGTTATATACCAAACGATAAATTGACTCAGCTAAACATTTATTTAATTTAAAAATAATAAAATGGTTGATTAATCAATAGAAGTACTGTACAGAACATTTTATTTGAGTGAATATGAGATGCCAAAATATTCCCTTAAAGTTCATAAAATTAAAAAGAAACAGAGGTGTAATTATTGCCTTTTTCCTTCAGTTTTATGTACCCATACGCTCATTCGGAATGACCTTTATGTACAGCCCAGGGTTTCCGTTAGTTAATTACCGTTTTTTAGCTGGTAAAATGTATAAAAACGGTTAATTCAAAACCTGCTGGTCAAAATGTCCGGTAATAATTAGGGATGCGCCGATCGTTATCGGCCGATGTTCACTCTTTATAGTGTGATATACTATACTATAGCTCTCTATAAAGGCTGATCAGGAGTGCCGATCAGATGATGCAAAATACATGAGACTTTTCTCTGTGCGCGGCAAAAAAAGCTCGCCAAAATGGCTTGTCCGAAAAAGACAATAAAATAGCGGTATGCAACGTGTGTGAAGCAGAAAGAGATCAGGATCAGCTGCTGCTGACGGAGACACGCAGCTCTGCATGATCACCTGCAGCTCCGCCCGCTGTGACGGACCGGTGAGCGGAGCAAAACACACACACTTCAAGTTAGACCTAACACACTTAGCAATTTTATCTACCTCTGGAACTAGCTAAACTAGTTATAAATACGTTTATTCTTCACTGTCGGGTCACTCATTACTGGATCAGTGAGTTGCATGAGTCTGATACTGACGGGCTGTCAGGAGAGGGGGAAGGGTTCCGTTTATTATTCCCGTCTTATTATCCAAAGTTAATGTAACTTTTGAATAATATTAAGGTCTGCTGACCAGCTGCTGCTGGTAGTGCCCAAGACCAGGCTCAAAACCCGAGGGCACCGAGCATTCGCAGCAGCTGGCCCCAGGCTCTGGAACACTCTGGCCCTCCATGTGAGGTCGGCCCAGACCCTAGGGGTTTTTAAATCTACACTGAAGACTCACTTCTTCTCTCTGACCTTCTAGTCAGAACGGAGCACGACTCCTGACATTTCCCTGTGTGTGATTTTTTAAAATTTGTGCTGTTGTATTTGTTGTAAAGTGTTTTTATTGTAAAGTATTTTTATTGTATGTACAGCACTTTGACCAAAAATTGTTTAAAAAATGTGCTATATAAATAAAACTTGATTTGATTTAATATACTTCATCTACTAGGAGTAGTTTGTTTGAATGTAATAATTATGTTTTTTGTTTGTTTGTGGAAGCGCATCATTTATTGAAAAATGAATCTGAACTTTTCGATCTGTGACGATTATAAACTGAAGCAATATAAAAATGAGCCCCATTAACTGAGTTTTATACATCAGCATTATATTACTGGTCATAGCCCTGTAATTACCTGCTAATGGAAACACTGCTACACAATTGTTATTATTATTATTATTGAAACATGACCGGTAAGTTTCGAATTTGTCCGGTAAAATAAATTATTTCCGGACACTTGACCTATCCTAGCGGAAACCCTGGTACAGCCGTATTGACTGAAGGAACTGTGTACTTATGTTGCAGATGAGGAGACTCCTGGTCTGTACGGCTTCCTGCACGTGATCGTCCACTCCGCCAAAGGATTCAAGGACTCAGCCAGTAAGTTGTCCAGAAACTGCATAGTCATTATTTCACCACACTTGTGCACACACTCCTGGCTCAGCATCACCTTGCACATAGCTGCTGTGCAGATTCATGTCTGCCAGCAGAACACATGATCCAGTCAATCACTGCAGTCTGTACATGCAGTCTCCATCATGCCCTAACCCAACACAGAGACGGCCAGATGGACATCTATAAGGGTTTAGATGATAGAAGAGAGAAAAAGAAATTGGAAGCCACAGAGGAATTCCTGTGGTTGTTTTCATGAAACAGAAACAACGACATGTTTAAAACTGCTGGCAGACATAATGCCAGTTGTCTCTGATCATTCCTACCTTGCACAAAGGCTCCTTTGTATGCGTGCAGATACAGCTGTGCATGTGTGTTTTACGTATCAGTAGCGGACAGCTGCTGAGGTACACTTTGTGTCCTTTTGCACCAGTTCACATATCAAATATCTGGAAAAAAAGAGATGAAGAAATGTGATTTCCTCTGTTACCATAAAAGCTGGCCCGCTAGAATTTCCCGGGTAATGGGTTGGAAAGCTCTCTCCGCTGAAAGCCTGTTTGATCCTCTAGTGTGTGTGTGTGTGTGTGTGTGTGTGTGTGTGTGTGTGTGTGTGTGTGTGTGTGTGTGTGTGTGTGGTGTGTGTGTGGTGTGTGTGTGTGTGTGTGTGTGTGTGTGTGTGTGTGTGTGTGTGTGTGTGTGTGTGTGTGTGTGTGTGTGTGTGTGTGTGTGTGTGTGTGTGTGTGTGTGTGTGTGTGTGTGTGTGTGTGTGTGTGTGTGTGTGTGTGTGTTGTGTGTGTGTGTGTGTGTGTGTGTGTGTGTGTGTGTGTGTGTGTGTGTGTGTGTGTGTGTGTGTGTGTGTGTGTTGTGTGTGTTGTGTGTGTGTGTGTGATGTGTGGTGTGTGTGTGTGTGTTGTGTGTGTGTGTGTGTGTGTGTGTGACTGATACAGTTGGATGGCAGTGTGTCCAGTGAAGCATACAGAGGCAGGGTGGGGCATGCAAGCCATGAAGGTAGCGTGTGGTTGTTAGGGGTTACTTTGGTGATGAGGATTACAGCAGAAGCATTTATCCTTCAAATAAATAAGTCAGCAGGTGTTATTTGTCAAACAAAAAATCAAATGAAATGTGATGATCAGGGTTGTTGGAATGAATGCACATGTTGTAAATGCTGTTTAACGTATAATAAAAACCTGAAACAGCATCCATGCACACTTCCCCTGGGAAGTCCTCAGATTACTTACACCAGACCCTTGTGCCAGGTGAAGAACATAAACAAACCTTCTCTTGCACTGTATTGAGCAACAAAAAAAAGACAGAATAGCATGGACACTCGACAAGAATTAAAGTGTGCTGAATGTAATTATAATCTGATATATAAAAAACCATTAGTGTCATAATCAGCCCATATGTGCAGCTAATGCTTTTGAATGACCTCCATTCATCATCTCCATTATAATTATAACAGATGCTTCTGTTCACTTAATACTAGGATGATCACACTCCATTTTTTTGTTTAGCCATGTTTAAAACGTTAATACCCACAATGCACCTGTGTTTTTAGGTGAGGAATTTGCTGTGTGGGTGACTGTTGTTGTGTATACTGTATGTGTGTGTTTGCATGTGTGGGTAGTTAAGTGTGTATAGGATGCTGAAATGAGCAATTTTGGCCAAACGTTTTATTTACTACAGCTGTCTATCATCAGTTAATCATGCTATATAAAGTGTTTATTGACGCTATTATGATGCAATTCATATATTTAATTAATACAAACGTTTCAGTTTTTCCCACTTACTTTATATCAATACATGTAACATTAATATATTTGTTTGCATTTAACTTCAAGCCATGTTCTGGTTTAGAGTAGTAATGCATCCTTTTATAGTTGATTGACCTGCAGCCTCAATATTTTGACCAATATCTCTTTACTGTTAAACAATGCCTGTTTTCTAATTGCATACAGTTGCTTTGACCCCTTTCAGCGATAGATGTATGTTTGCAGTATTTTGTTATATCCCTGTAGAGTCCTGATTATGAAACCAGTCCTGCTCTGGCAGAATCTAACATTCTTCTCATTCATGGGTGTTTTGAAAAACAGCCCTTGAAACATAGACTTGATGGGGGACATTGTTTCTAAATGCTCAAGTACCACAAATTACTGAAATTACACAGTTTCATCCAAACTTAATTATGGGACCAAATGTTCCTTTTTATGTAGATGTTGTGTAAATCAGCCTGTGTGTTGATTTGTTTTAGTTTTTTATCCCATTATTGTAATCTCCCTGTGAGTTCTGCTCGAGAATTATGAAAACATGTTCTGCTCTTTTCCATGGCAGTGTGGGAACAGTATGTGATATTCGTCCATAGGGTCATTATCCTCAGATATTTAATATATATCATACACTGTAGATAGCTTTACAGTCTTTATTCAATCATTCAGATTAATCAGCTATTGCCTTTTTGTTCGTTTCTATGATTACTTTTTTTATTAGAAGATCACACAAGCATGCACCAGAATATTTGATTGAAGCTGAGTTATTTATGTCACAACGACCCCCACCCCCTCCCCAGTGGGAAAGGGCTTTAAATCCAGCCCAGGGGTAAAGTAGTCAAACTGGGTCACAGAGGAAAGAGCTGGGAGTCTAGCGTCTCCTAAAAACTCTGAGAATAAAGTCAAATCTGTGGAAAACATGACCGAGTTAGAGAGATGAAAACATTTTTTCACTTTGTTCTTGGTTTATTTTTGAGTATGTGTGAGAGTCAACAAGTGACACAGTGCATTGTTCCCACTATATGTGTTTGACAGCTACTGCAACCTGATGCTGTGACACTGCAGTTGCCCATGTTCACATTCAGTTGTTAAAAGTAAATTATTTCCATATTTCCAACTACACCTAGAGGTTTAAAGCTTAGCTAGATATAACTAATAATGTAGTAATAGTGCAGTTGCTACCAGATAAAATAAGGTCTCACTAGTATGCTTGAATCAAAACAACATTTTTGTCACTCGCCACTGTTCCCATAAAAGTAAATGGCCAAAACACTGCTCCAAGGTTTCAAATGTTCTCTTGTGATTTCTGCGTGTAATCAAATCCAGCCATGGCTGCATGCATTCCCATTCATTGTCCGCCATGCTTTTATTAGTTTTCTCCTGCTGGATGCTATGAAAACAATTTGATTAGGCCTCTTCCCTCCTTTTTTTATTCTCTTAAAGAAACAAACATTCTCCTGAAGCCTTAAAGTGAGACATACAGAGAGGCTCTGGTGGCTGCGACTCGTAGCTGCAGAGACTCTGATTAGTTTAACTGATTATCACTTGCTTCCTTATTCTGTGAACCCGCATTTTGACCGAGCGTTCAACACAGCCTCGGGCAAAGACTAGCCTCCTGTATGAAAACACACTCGAGGGCAGGAGTTCTCAGTTGAATTGAGATGGAAGAGGATGGTATTCATTAACCCCTGCATTTAGGGTCAGAAACCCCATGCTGCCCCCTCATACTAGGAGCCTGACGCTGACCTGCCAGGAAAATAAAAACTTCCAGGCCTCGTTTAGTCTGTCCTACTTTTCAAAGCCCTCCTGGATCCGCTTTGAGGACACACAAAGCCCTCTCTAAATATGCTCTCCCCGGCCTTGTTTGAATTCCAGGTCCTGGGCACATAAACCCGTTTCAGATGGAGAGGAAACCAATTTCCAGAGAAAAGTGGGAGCTGCTCAGCACTATGAATGCACTCTTCTCTGCAGGCTTGATGAAAAAGACCAGTTTGAATCACAGGGGTGTCTCAAAGAAATGCCCTCACTACTTTTTCCTCTGAACAGCTGTTTTTCTAGTCATACAAAAGTGCCAAACTGAATTGCATCTGTGGGCTTCAGTATAGATCCGTTTTAAACCAAACTCTGAAAGTTAGTATTTTTGCGATGTCAGAATCCACAGCCTTTAAGTTGTTATGCTTCCGTACGAGCGGAAGTGTACGATAACAGCTTCATTTTTGATAAATATCCCCCAGATGGCCACTCTGCCGAACCTCCTTCATACCACCAACGCTAATCTCTTCCTCACTGGTAGTAATTATGCCAGAGCCGTCAGGATGCTGAGAAAACAAACAAAGTTGGAATGAAACCAGATGGAAAGAGGTTCCATTGTACTGTATAGTTTTAGTTATATGAGCACATGTGTGAATGTTTGCTCACCAAGGTGGTATGCTTGGTATCTCCCTCTAACGTTAACCACTCAGGCCCAGCTGTTTGTTTTCCATCCTCCATTGTAAACTGCGGAAGGGTTTTATATTCATATGAGATTCACCTTCACCTCTGTCTCTGGCTCCCAATCGGGGAGACTCTCCCTGTGAAAGGTCAAGCAGTACATCCATCCATCATGCTGTCAGATGGAGGCTGACCCGAGGGACCGGGGTCCGGGCTGTGGGACCGACTATTGACACTTTACAGACAGCCGGCAGCCATGTCTGCAGGAACTGCTACAGCAGCATTTAGAGAAACACATTAACAGACTTAATTGCTCCGTGTTAGAATTGAGTGTGAGCCAATCCCGGGGGAGGGCGTGTTCTAGTATGAGGATGTAAAGAGAGGAAGAGGGCCTGAGTGATGTGTACACAGGGTGGGGATTGATGTCCTTTAGCTGACAAATAACATATCGACATTTTAAAGGGCTACTTCTACTTCGCTGGAGCGCAATCTCAAGTGCACATTCCATACAAAGAGGATACCAGAATTAAAATCTTACTCACTGTCACTGTGAAAGCTTTTGTACAAATTCTACTTTGAAACAGTTGTACTTGAAAATGGGTTCCGGAACTTCCGGATGCAAAAGGCCCTTTCTGTTTCTGTTCATATTTATTTTACTTATTTGATTTTGACTGCTCCCTATATTTTTACACTGCAAATATTGGTCCTGATATGGAAAAGCAGACCAGAAGTACTTTCATTCATTTGGATGTATAGTGAATTTGTAGTTGATAAGATACACCAGTATAGATCTGGAGCAAGTAGTAGATACATTGATCAGTTGATTTGTTTGAAAGGTAATCAGCAACTATTTTGATGATATATTATTGGCCTAGGTTACTTTTTGGGAGGGCTGTGCTGAAGAGTTCAGAGTTTCGAAGCTTCATGGATTATCTTGACATTTGAGTTTTAATTAAACATTGTCTTTAAACCCGTTATTTCTGCACAGTTGCAAATAAAGATTAGACTATAGTACTGTTATTTTCCAACTATCATTAAATAATGAACATAATTATTCACAGCCCTGTCTGTGTGAGTCTCACAATATTAAAACATGACATATGTGTTAAAAAACAAATACTGTTGGCTGTTATTACTATACATTATCTCCCCACAATGACATCATTGTCTGCTAAAGGTCTGTTTAAATGGCTGTAATAACTATTTAATGGCTGTACTTTTACTACAGGATGATTAAAACATAATGAATAGACTTCTGTCATTTGACCTACCATTGTTAGACAGTATATGTTTCCAAGACACATTTAGTGTAATATCTCATAAAGTTACAAACGCGTCTTGTCACAATGACAAAGCACTCAAGAGGCCCGAGTGCTTATTCAGCGATTTTCAGTGCTCAGTGTTCCTGATGGATCTGTCTATCTCCTGTGTTTCCTCCTAGATCTATACTGCACCCTTGAAGTGGACTCGTATGGATACTTCGTCAGCAAGGCCAAGACCCGCGTCTTCAGAGACACCATGGAGCCACATTGGAACGAAGTCAGTCACAAAGACTCCTACCATTGTTTCATTAACAGATTCATTTCATAAAAGATCATATTTAGTCAGAGCTTGAACTGAGTAAATCCAGATTTTAAATTCAGTAGAGCTTTGTTATAAAATAAAAAAATCTCTGTTTATATATAATCCAAAATAAATCGTTTTTACTTGCTGTCAAGACCTAGTTAGTAGGATGTGAAGAGGGGTTGCATTGTTTGCTAGCTGCTAGTTAAAAAGTTATTTAGTTTAACTTGACTCATGATGACTAAGCAAAGAAACTTTGTGTAACACATAAAACTAAATAGGTCATAAACGTATCATTAGGGAAACTTGATTTATTTAGCTGAAAAAATAGGTAATTCTGGATCACATTTTCAATTGAAGTTTAATGTTTAAATGTATTTTCATTTATTTCAATTAGCTTATTTTCTTAAAGAGAGGTTAAATTGAATCTTTCTTAATATCGAGCTAAGTTTAAAGTTATGCGTGACATGATTTAAATATCAGGTTTAAAATGTATCCTTTGTGTTTGTGTATCTTAGCCTTACTGTATAAACAATGAAAGCAGATGTTTTACTCTCCTGTCTGTATGTGTGTCTTTGACTAGGAGTTTGAGATTGAGTTGGAGGGCTCCCTGTTCCTGCGGATCCTGTGCTATGAGAACTGTTACGACAAAAGCCTGCTCAACAAGGACGACAACGAGATTGTGGACAAGATCATGGGAAAGGGGCAAGTCCAGGTAAGAGACAGCTGCTGAAAACATGCCACCTACAAAGAGAGACGTCTGTGTCCTCTCGGGGACATTTCCCAACACATGACTCACTTTAACTAGCTGTCTAGCCCCGATGCACAATACAGTGGTTTTGTCGCGGTGGCCTTTAATGAAGCTGGTTGGATTAATAGCTTATTTAAGGGGGGTTCCCCCTGTCTTCTTGTGAGAAATGTTCCTATAAAAATCCCTTTCAGTCTTGTTAACTTGATCCTGCCTACACAGTGGGATCTGTGGTTCTGGTAGTTTTGCTGCTCTCCTTCTTGTTGTTTGGACGTTGCATAAGCAGAGTCATATTTCCATTTTTCCAGAACTTCTGTGGAAAATCTGTTTGGTCAAGTGAAGCTTGACTCCTGTCATTTCCCCCGCAATTGAGTCAAATTGCAGCCTTTTCCGTTTCCTCCTCTGCAATCGAGTTCAATTACTTTGGGTCATCTCTGAGCAGCTGAATGAACTCATGTTCCTCTCAAGTGATGCATGTGTCAGTGCCAGAGGAGAACTTATAGCAGTTTATTTCTGAACCTGCTTCTGATACTTTCCAAACTTTAACAGAATACGTAAAACTTTTCTAGATGTGTTTGTTGCTGAACATTCGTAGGTAAAAGAAGTATAAGTGACAAGTTTCACAGGGAATGCAAATCTTCTGTCTGACATGGAGAGGAAGTGGGGCAAATATGAGTCACTAAAGTTGCTTTGCATTTAAAAGGAAAGGATGCATCTCTAAAAGTATCTTGTACATATTTTGATCTGTGTTGTTTCGCTTCAGACCAAAGTTCCTTTTGTATATCCTTCAAACTCTCTTTGAATGGGAAAAAAAACCCTGCAACATATTTGCTGTAGCATTTCCTGTTTGGCAAAAGCCGCTTCCATGCTTCTGTCATTCAGTTTGATGATTTGTGTCCTTCAGTGTCGCCTTTGATTTCCTATGGATAGCAAATGAGAGTGAGTTTGCCGCCACACACGTCTCTCCTTCAACTATACTTCAACAAGGCATTGCCATTTGTTCTTCTTATTGCCTTGTATGTTTCTAAAATGATTAATAGAGGCACGTTGTCTATTGAAATCTATGGATAGTTACCTGTCAATCATTCTGGGTGTTACCTGGTGGAAAATGTGTAAACCTCGCCCTCCTGTGTGATGGGTTAATGGGGTCAGGAGAGGATTAAGAAAATAATGATGCATGTACGTATGCACATTTAATACTATATCTGTGTTTATGAAGTAATTCTTAATGCAAGAAAAGCACTTATTCACAGACAATAGATTTTAGAATCACATTTTTCCATCCTAACCATACAGATGATTAATATAGTATTTAAATAGCTTTCCATCCCAACCTTCCACGTAAGTTATTGTGGTTCATCACTGGTGCGGCAGTGTATCTTATATAAGAGTAAGACCCCCCCTCTTTGGTATAGCTGCCAGTCAGAGAGACAAACGCTGCTGCCGCTGCTGGGAACATCCACTTTGAGCCAACAACAGCCAAACAAACAAATAAACACTTCACATGTTCTCTGGCTCGCTGTGAGAGGGGGAAAATAGAGAAGAGCAACAGAAATAGAGAGCGAAAGACAGAAAGGGGGAATGGCATGTTCCATCCCAGACTCCGAGAGGGTGGGAATGCTTTGTGGGTTAGCTGATAGCTAAAGACAAGACTTGTTTATAAAGACACTGTATCCATGTGTTTATGAAGTTTGCAGTGCAGCAATATTTAGTCAAGTATTAATAAGTCGATCAACAGAAAAGAAAGTAACGATTTTGGTCAATTTTCTTCTTAAATGTGACGATTGAATGCTTTTCTTTGATATCTATGATATTAAATGACAAGGATAAATCCTCTCCTTACTTTACGATCTTGAAGCTCTGAATGCAAGGATCCAAGTCCATAAACTTTTACAATTGAGCTTTTAAAGTTTTCTTCAGTGCCAAGTAATACAATAATAGTTATTTGCACTTTCGTGGGTAAACTGCAAACACTATTTGCTAATTCAGTATATGTTTAAGATGACAATTTTATAGAATTAGGCTCCAAGTCCAGAGCAACAGAACACGTCCTATTTATAATCCCCAAATCTCCCAATGTTTGGGAACTACAGTTACAATTTTCTAATCCATGAACCATACCATTTTAAGTTGTTTCAAGATAAACTTAGCCTCCAAGGGGAACTCTCACTTCCGTCTGTTTTGCTTTTGGCACATTGTCACAGAAACATGAAATCCTTGGTATTTCGTCTGACAGCACCGTGTTTTTGCAGGCAACAAACTTAAGTATTGTACATGTTTGCAACATGTTAGTGTAAAGGACACCAGTGTGCCCCAAAGTCCAGAGTTAGTACCTAGAGGGACTTTCACTTGGACCCGAGCTGTTTGCTTTCCTGCTGAAGCTGAGTTTAGAAGGAGCCTCCAATGTTTTGCTTTCCTCTCTGGAGACCCCTCTGATTTATTTAACAAGCTCGCTGAATACTGACACACCGTAAATGGGCATACTGGGTTGGAAGTTTTCTTTTTTTACCCAACTGCTGTTCCTTCACTTTGTTGCTCTGTCATTAGAATATGTTATGATTCGGGCCAGAGGTTTTATTTTGAAGCTGTAGGACTATTCTACCTCAATGTCCCAGAGGTTTTGTTTTCCATCATTGTGCACGTACACACACACAGTGAATGAAAAGTGTAGGAGAATGCCGACAGTAGCAAACTCATGTTAGCTTGATTGAGTTGCTTGCCCACAGGGGAAGATGGAACCATTTATTTCCAGCCCTTCAGCCAACAGACGTCCACTGAGCAGATAACCTCTGATCTCGAAGGTCACGTTGCAAATCCTCCAATAAATTACAACAACATCAGGGTTTTCTCCCCCTGTCTCTCAAACTGGCAACACAAATTCATTCTTGAATGTCTCTGAGGAGGCGATTTGGAACAATGATCAGTATCAGGACCCAAAGTTGTTGCCTCCAGCTTGTTATCCCTTTTGCAGGTTGTTAGTGATATTTTAGTTGTGTAACCATTGATTGTCCTCTATCTAAAGACGTTTAGTTAAAATCCGAGACTCTCATTTTTGTTTTGCTCTCAGAATTCCTTCTAGTTTTAAAAAATATTGGAAATATCAATTACAAACCCTTCAGGATCAGAATTTTCTGAAAGTATCTTGATTACTACAGTAGTATGATTCTTCATACATCTCCAGTTGCTGGGATTTTGTTCTATCTTGCTCTAAAGCAGTGCTTCTCAAAGTGTGGTCCGCGGACCACTGGTGGTCCGTGAGCGCCCCCTAGTGGTCCGTGAGTATATTGGTAACATTTCACATTTGAAAGAAATACATTTATTTAAGTTTTTCGCACTCTCGCGGGAATATCTCCGCAATGGAACGAGCTTAAGTTTCACTTTCGATTGCATGAAATAGCCCAGATAAACACCTTCATCACACATTTTGCCACTTGTTTGTACGATTTTCAGGCGATTTGTAAAAAACGATGTGTTTTTGGATATTTGTGGAGTTAGGTGGTCCGCGAGTGTTTTTTTATTGGTTAGGTGGTCCTTGGTATGAAAAAGTTTGAGAAACACTGCTCTAAAGAGACACCAAAATGAACTTACTTGAACTCATGAAAGTGAAAACCATCTCCTCTCCTACCCTATGTTTTGTGCCATTCTTCTAATGACCCTTATTATGTGTGGGCTGTGGCTGTCGGTGCTTGTCTTCAGAGGAGCAGTTATGTAACTGTTTAGGTTTACAGCCCCAGAGCTTTGTGTAGCAGGGACACATCGTATCACCCAGCCACAGCAATGCTTTCATCCAGTAATCTGTGTGCCACATCCCAGCCTCCCGTGGGCTCACCTCTAAGGCTTTTATTTCTTCTCTTATCAGGGGAAGAGTGTGCTGTCTTTCATACACCCACCAGCAGCCGTTTAGTCTGTCGCACTGTTTAGGAACATGGTAAAGTGTTTCTCAAGGCTTTGGATTTACCTCAAAGTCGTTTTCTGCAGAGGTTAACAAAGTACGAGGTGAAAGGGACAGGTGCCATTGTTCTTATAACATCTAGAAGTTTGTTATTGTAATGTAAACATCATATTAACATGATTAGTTGGGGTTGTGACGGCTCAGGTGTAGTTATGGTGCTTTAAGATCATCAAAATGCGTACTCTTTATTTAAGTCAGGGTTCAGCTATATGCGAACAAATAGGCACGGTGCAGATACATTTTGGCTACATTGTACACATCTTCAGGATAATTATCTTGGACGTCCATTGCAGATAAGCGCTCAGAAATAATAGATTAAAAGAGGGTGAACTTGCCTAAGCATCTTTATGTTTTTAGGTTTTCTTAAGTGTCAACTGAATCCAGTAATAGTTGCCTGAATACCCATAAGCACACTGCTAACGGGTAATTGCTAATAGCTAATTGTTCGAATCTAACATAGGCAAATTAAAGGGGGGCTCAATTTGATGCACGTAGAATTCACGACCAGCACCACATAATGCTGTTATTAATAATATGATTCAATTCCATTTCGATTTACTCATGTCCTTCTCACATTGTTGCATTTGTTCATACTCTGAATCTATAAAAGGAGTTCACTAAGTTCTCTAACTCTTACGAGTCATCATCTTCAGCAATGTCCCCAGCAAAGGGAAACCAACTCAACCTCTTGAACTTTTCCTCCCATCATCCCTCGCGTGCGTGCCCCCCCCCTCTTCACTGCTGGAGGTTGTTTTCATTGTTTTTTGTTCTGGGGAGAGCTCGTGTCGACCCCCCTTCATCCAAGCAGTTTTGCTGGGCGCCGATAAGCAGTAACCTGATCGTTTTTAACGAAAGATAATGGGAGCCAGAGAAATTGGGCATCAGTAGTAAAAAGACAAAGGGGTTGATCGAGCTGTTTGTTCCTGGCAGCTCTTAGCCTGCTGGACAGGGGGTGCACGCATTAGCCCGGAGTAACTGTTAAAAAATACGGGTGCAGTGGGGTTGTAAAGTTTGA